TAGAGAGGCCTCTGGGTAGGGCCTCAGAGACCAGGCAGTAGGCTTGAGAGACAGTGTAGACCTGCTGGGAAAGAGCAGCGCGGTGGACCGTGGTCTCTCCTGGAGTTGGGCATTGTCTTGAAGGAAGGGGGAGGAGGAACAGAGCTTCGCTCATCTCTCCTGCCTCCTGTAGTTCCTGGCCACCTTAGAAGGAAAACTGCCTCTCTACAACACCCGCATCCTCCTGCCCGTTGTCAGTGTCAAGGACAAGTTCTTTGGTCAGTAGACTCCGAAGGAGGATGGATGGGAGGGGCACGCGGTGGCCCTCGGTCAGGGCCAAGGAGGAGTGCATGGTGCCCTGAAGTCTGGGGAGGGGAAAGGAAGCGCTCTCTCTTACCCTCCCCACCCACCCTGCCTCTCTGCAGACGAAGAGGAAAGTGAGGAGGAGGACCACGATGTGGTGACCCGCTCTGCCTTCAAGCTCCGTTCCCAGAAGTTAATCGAAGCCCGCAGCAAGAAGCGCAGTAGGTCGCGCAGGTCCTAGACTCACAGTCACGGCCCGTCGGATGCCTCGGGGCCTCTAGGGAGCTCTCCGACCCTCTGGGCCCACCTACCGGTGTGGGGGGAGCCCTCGAGGCTCCTTCAAGGGCTGAAGGAGGCTCCAGTAGGGAGCACCGCAGGTCAGCAGCACCCAGAGGAGGGGAAAGGCCGAGCCAGAAGTTCCCACAGTAAATCTCTCGAGGCGGGTTAGAGCCCGCCTCAGAATCGCGCAATAAAGGTCACTGACCAACCAACCCCTGGGTATTCAACTCTTCTTGACCCTGTACTGCTCCCAAACGGCTGACCCCAAGAATGCAGAGTCACGGACACTTCGCAGCTTCCAGCCTGAGACCTGTGATACAAAGTCAGTGTGCCTTCCTCCCCCCTCCAAACATAGGGGGCACCCCTATACAAATGAACACAAAGAACTTCCCACCCGGGGACACAGACCTGTCGTTGTCCCCCTTACACCGTATCTGGGGTCGGGAAGACTTGTGGTCTGGGTGACAGACTGATACACCTCCGGGAAGGTCCCGGACTTCTGCGTTGGCCTGGGAGCCGGGGGCCCGGGGCGGGGGGGACCCTCTACAGCCGTGCGCCCGCCTGGCCCAGCCCCGCCCCGCGACTGGACGCGCGGCCGCCCCGCCCCGCTGCCCGCTCCCGCTGGCCCTTCCGCTTCACTCAGCGGCGCCAGGGAGCAGGACGGGCATCGGGGCCATGGAGAGGACAGCGGGCAAAGAGCTCGCCCTGGTAAGAGGCAGCGGGGGAATCCTCAGACCCCACGTCCCTGGTGTACCCTTAGATGCAGAAACTCCGGATATCCACCCTTCGCTTTCTAACCTTTCTGCAAAATGGATGTGCCCCGGAGTTCCCACTTGGGGAGTCAAAGTTCCTGACCCGTGAAGCGGCTGGTTTGTAGGGTGGGACGGGAGTCTGACCGCATCTCGGGAGGAAGCGACAGAAAGATTCTTTGTGACATTTGGAGTGTCCCGAATGATACTCCATCCACTCAAGACCTGGGAGGAGGGTGTCCGTGGCGCAGAGGGACCCACCTGGGATCCCACCCAGAGTCTGGCGTAGTCTGCTCGGGAAAGTGGGCCAAACGTAAAGGCCGGGGACAGAGGCGGGGGCGCTGCCCTGAGCCCGCCTCCACATCCAGGCGCCGCTGCAAGGCTGGGGTGAGGAGACCGAGGACGGAGCGGTGTACAGCGTCTCCCTGAGGCGCCAGCGCAGCCAGCGCTCGACCCCGGAGGGGCCTGGAGACGACCAGGTGAGGAAGAGGCCGGAGGTGAGCAGTGAGGGCGGGTTCAGCCCGGCGGTCTGGGCAAAAGCTGGAGGGCCAAGGGTGAGCCTCCCAGGAGCAGCGGCCAGGAGGAAGGGCGGAGCTTAGAGGCGACCAGGTGAGTGGAAAGAGCGGGGGGAGGGGGGGCGACCAGGTGACTGGGTTAAATCCAGGAAACGGGGTGGTGCCAGGTGATGGCGCGTCCCCAAGAGTTAAGACTGACCGGCTGGGAGCAGGAAATCTGATGAAAGAAGGAGCGGCCAGGTGGGGGTGGGTGGGACTGAGGCTTGCCTAGTGAAGCGAGACCGCAAGGCTGACTGAAGCCTGGGGTGGCCGGGTGAGGAGGGAACAGACGGCAGAGCTTAGAGTAGTGGGGTGTCCTACGGTTGACGTGGGCATTTGATGATTGGACATCTATTTAGGGAGTCTCAGATTTTCAGAAATGAACACGATCCAAAGCAAAAAGAGGTGCCAGCCACGGGTGTGGTTGGAAACAAGGTGCTTGGGACGCCCCTCGTGTTATTTCATCCGCCGTCCTCCCCCCACCGCCCACCCCCACCCCCTGCAGGCTGCCATCCCTGCTGCCGACACTTTCCTCCAGTACCGCACCAGCAAGGTGCGGGCGCTGAGGGCCGCCCGACTGGAGCGGCTGGTGCATGAGTTGGTGTCCGGAGACCGTGAGCAGGACCCTGGCTTCGTGCCTGCCTTCCTGGCCACCCACCAGGCCTTTGTGCCCACAGCGCGCGTTCTGGGCTTTCTGCTACCCCCGCCGCCGCCGCCGCCTCCTCCTCCTGGGTCAGTCATTTTCAGGAGACCCGCAGGTCCCCATCCCCAGAACCCTATCTACCCCTCCCCCTGCCCGATTTAGAACCCCAGAGCACAGGTCTTAAAGCTGCACGGCTCGGTTCCCTTCTGATAGAGGCTTTCTTCCCAGGGTAGACAGCAAGAGGGCGGAGAGACAGGATCAGAGCTTCAGCAAGAACCTGAGGTTGGTTTCCACCCCTCACCCCCTACCTAAGGGAGCGTGAGGGAAGGGACCTCAAGGTCAGGCCTGACGCCTGCAAGGTTGGGAAGGTCTAGATCCTTGGACTCGGTTTTGAGCCACACATCCCTCTCTGTCCAGGGCTGTGGTTTCCGTACTCGGTTCGTGGCTTCGAGACCACCCTCTGGACTTCCGGGATCCTCCCGCCCATCAGAACCTGGGCAGTGTCCGAATCTTTCTGGACTGGGCAGCTCCAGGAGGGGCAGAAGCCAGGGAAGCAGAGAAACTTCTAGAGGATTTCTTGGAGGAAGCTAAGAGAGAGCAGGCAGAGGAGGAGCAGCGGCTGGCTTGGGCAGGTAAAGGACTAGTGCTGGTGATATTTTGAGACTGTGCTACCCCTCTCAAAATGACAGACCCTGAACACATTTTATTTATTTTAGTTTTGGAAATGAATTCAGACCTTTTTGCATACTAGCCAAACACTGTACCACTGAATCACATACATCCCCACCCCCTGGGAAAGCTCCCTCTCCTTCCTTCCTTCCTTAATGTGTGTGTGATGTACATATGTGTTCATGTGTGTGGGTGGTCACATGAATTGGAGGCCAGACGACAATGTTAGGTGTTCACCTCTATTGCTGTTAGAAACAAGGTCTCTTACTGAACCTGGAGCTCACCAATTTGGCTTGCCCTTGGAGCCCAAGATTCCTCCTGTCCCTGCCTCCCCAGAGCTGGGCTTGTGCTATGTTCCTGGAGGTTTGTGGGTGCTGGAGATCTGACCTTGGCTCCTCACAATTACATGGGCAAACATGCTAACCTCTGAGCCATTTCTCTACCCCCATGGGCAAGACTTTTAAACTAAATAAGCCTTATTTTCTCCACTTGATCACAAGTCTTTATCAAAAGTATTAGCATTTGCCTAATGTCCTCCTGCACCCTAAGATCCTCTATTCTCTGACTTGGGATGTCTCTCAGTGGCTGAGTGCTTGCCCAATCAAGAACAGCAACCTGGGTTCAAATCCCAGGCCGGCCCATTTGCTGATTGTATGACCTTGGTTAGATTTCTTCACCTCTCTGAGACGCAAAATGGGAATAGCAGTGATCACCTCATGGAATTGTCCATTTAGCACATGTTGAAACACTAGCTCTGGTCACATAATAGTGGACTAAGGTTCCCACTCTCCTGGGAAGGACATCCAACACACAGGAAATCGGTAAGCAGTAAGGGTTGGCCAAGTGTCTTGGTATTTTGTTTAATTCGTCTTTATTGTTATTGTGTGTGTGAGACGCGTGTATCTGGATGCCGTAGAGTGCATCACTCCTTAGGAGTCTGTTCTACCGTTATATGGGTTCCGTGTTTTCAATGGCTGGGTCATCTCACCAATGATACTATCATTACGTGTTGCTTTTATTTTCAAGACAGGATCTCAGGTTAGCCCAGTCTAACCTCACTATGTAGCCAAGGATAATCTTGAACTTCTGATCTTCCTGTCTTCATCTCCCCAGTGCTGGGGTTACAAATATGTGTCACCATACCTGGTGTTATTTTTGTTACATTGTAGTCTTTTTGTTTTGTAATTAGTTTGTTTGTAACTTTATGTGTCTTTGAGCTTTTCCTGCATTAAGTGCATACGGTGCCCTTCGTCAGTGGAGTCAAAAGAGAACATATGGTGCCCTGGAATGGAGTCACAGACAGTTGCGGCCATAGTCTTGTTTTCCTTTTTGAGGCAGGGTCCTGCTATATACCCAGTGCTGCCACATCTCTAAGGAGCAGAGGATGACCTTGAACAGATGTGTGGTTTATGCAGAGCAAGGCATTGGCTTCAGGACCTTCCTGCTAGGCAGGACTCTACCCACTGAGCTTCACCCCCAGTTTGGTCCTCAGAGTGTTGGAATTGTGTGTGTGCACCACCAGCCTAGTAATAGTGTGTGTTTCCTTGTTTTGGTGTTTGTTTTTCAAAACAGGGTTTCTGTGTGCATCCTGGCTGGGATTAAAGGCATGTGCCACCAATGCCCAGCTTGTTTTGTTGTTTAATCTTTTTTTATTCATTTATTTATGGTGATGGGGAATGGAACCTCGCCCTGTACAATTGAGACAATTTTCCCACTGAACCTAATGTTTTAGATATCTACCAGGTACGATGGAGTGTGTGCCAAGACACAGTATTGACACCTTATTAGGAGTACTAAGGTACCATTAAGCATTACAGAAAAATTTGTGAGCTGGAAGCTAGCCTGTTCTACATAGTGAGCACCAGGTCTCCCAGGCCTATATGGTGAGACCCTGTCTAAAACAAAGTTGAAGACAGATGAAAACAAATTACAAATCTCACTCAGGTCTTGTTGAAATGTCATTTCTGTGGCTGGGGAGAGGGCTCAATAGATAAAGGGGCTTGCAGACAGTCCTGACAGAGTTTGATCTCTGAAACTCATGTAATGGAAACAGGCTCCTGAAAATTTCACACACACAATAGATGAGCGTAGTCTTATTTATTTATGTGTTCATTTATTTGTTGACATTTCATTTATTTATTGGTGGCGGGGTACACTGTGGCCTATGTGTCAATAAGCCATCTCAGTGAATCTAAATGAAATTTTGAGTTTTGTTGTTTGGGGTTTTTATTTTTTTATAATTTATTTATCCTTTTAAATTCCATTTTACATTCCAGTCACAGTTCTCCCTCCTGCCCCTGGGAGTATCTCACTGTGTAGCCCAGGCTGGCCTGGAATTTGATATGTCTATAGCCCAAGCTGATCTTGAACTCATAGAGAGCCTCCTGCCTCTGCTTCCTGACTGCTGGGGTGGAAGGCACCAACCCTGAAAGAGAGGATATTCTCTTCAGGGTGACTCTCCAGCCCTATGCCTCTGAGCCTGCCTTATTTTTCTGAACATTATTCATGACTGATCCCTGGCTTCCTTCCCTACATCCTGTGAGTACAGGAACAAAGGATCCTATTGGCTCTGTCCCCACAAGCTGGAACAATGCATATTAGCTAATTGAATAATTGCACTCTGCTTATACAGAATCATCTCATGTCCACGATGGATCTCATCGGATTCTGTGTCCCTAATCCTTATCCTTTAATCCCTCAAGCCCCGAGCTGAAGTGGCCACTCTCGGTTCTGCAGAGTAGCAGCTACTTGTCTATGCCTATGTATTTTTCTCTGCTTAATTGATTACCAAGAAGTTTCCTTTCCTACCTTCAGGTTTTAAATCTTCTATTACGTTGTTTTTATTTATTCTGTGGTGGTGGAGTGACTGTGGGGAGGGAGCCTGCTCTCTCCCTCTGGCATGTGATCTTAAGGACAGAACTCAGGTTGTCAGGCTTTTGGGATGGTGCCCTCACCAGGTGAGCCATCTCTCTGAGCCCCTGAAAAGAACTTTTCTTGTGTGTGTGTGTGCGTGTGTGTGTGGGGGGGCTAGGGATTGACCTAGGGTCTCACACTTGTGTTCTGCCATTGAACCACAACAAAAACTGGACTGGGGTTTAGGGCTTGGGTTTTTGGGGTTTGTCTTTTGTTTTATTGAGATAGGGCAGAGGTGTGTGTCAAACCCACTATGGAGTTTCTGCTGATTTCAGATTCCTAATCTTGCTCCCCTGGGGAAACAGGTGTTCACCACCACATTTAGATAGAATCAGAGGCTATATTTCCATTTTATTTTTTAAAGTTTATTTTTAATTATGTGCATGTGGGGGCGACACACACAAGTGCAGGTGCCTGTGGAGGCCAGAAGTTTTGGATCCCTTGGAGTTGTGAGGTGTCTGATGTAGGGGCTTGGACTAAGCTCCAGTCTTCTAGAGTAAAAGTATATGCTCCTAACCTCTGAGCCGTCTCTCCAGCCCTCTGTTTCTACTTTACTTTATGCTTTATTCGTTTATTTTTGTGTATGTAGCACATCATGTCACAGGGTGTGTATGTGTGTGTGTAAATATATGTGTGTGTGTCTGTGTGTGTGTGGCGGGGAGTATCTTTGTTTTGTTTTTTGACAATGCCTGTAGTCCTGGAGAGCCTAGAACTCAACTTGCCTCTGCCTCCCAAGTGCTGAAATTAAAGGCTGGCCACAGCAGGCCTGACCAAATTTGAGACATTTTTCTTTTCTTTTCTTTTAAGATGTATTTATTTAGTACACAGTGTTCTGCCTGCATGTATGCCTGCAGGCCAGAAGAGGGCACCAGATCTCACTCTAGATGGTTGTGAGCCACCATGTGGGTTCTGGGACTTGAACTCAGGACCTCTGGAAGAGCAATCAATGCTCTTACCTCTGAGCCATCTCTCCAGCCCTGAGACATTTTTTCCTTTTTTCCTCTCTCTCTCTCTCTCTCTCCCCCCCCGTCCCTCCTATATTCTCTCTCTCTCTCCATTTACTTTTATTTTATGTGTATAAGTGTGTGGGATTTTTGCCTGTATATGAGCCAGCGCATTATCAGCGCATGATGGCCGCAGAGGCATCCCGTAGATCCAGTAGGCCCCCTGAGACCTGTGGGTGCGGGGAATCCAACCCTTGTCCTTTGGAAGAGCAGAAAGTGCTCTTAACTTCAGAACCATCCTCTCCGTCCATAGGTGAGTTGTAAACACCCTGTCTATTCCCCAGGCCCTCTCAGGGCTGCCCAGTCCCCCAGATCAGAGTTTGTAGAGGACTTCGAGGAAGAGGAAAGCCACAGTTCAGAAGGCCCAGAGCTCCTGGACTTCAGTGTGGACGAGGTGGCAGAGCAGCTGACGCTTATGGACGTGGTGGGGACCCCAGCCAGCGGCGAGGTGGGAGGGCAGGGGGCAGCCTCTACAATGAGCACCCGGCTCACCCTCGGCTCCTCCACGCAGGAGCTCTTCTTGCGCGTGCGGACCTGCGAGTGTCTGGGTTCTATGTGGTCTCAGCGCGACCGGCCGGGAGCTGCAGGCATTTCCCCCACAGTGCGTGCCACGGTGGCCCAGTTCAATGCGGTTACCAGCTGTGTCCTGGGCTCGGTGCTCGCAACACCTGGCCTGGCGGCCTCGCAGAGGGCACAGCGCATTGAAAAGTGGATCCGCATCGCCCAGGTGTGCAATGGGGATTGGGGCTCGGGCAGGGTGAGACCAGGAGAGTAGCTCCGGGATTGTGGGAAATCAGCTTGGCAAGGCTGAGGATTGGAGGCTGGAGGTGGGTGTGAAGGTCGCACAGAACCGCAGTGGGGAAAGAGAAGAGGAAAAGGCAGATCAGGAGTGTGGGCTGCGTGGAGGAGGGGGGAAAGATCCTGTGTGGAGTCGAGAGGCTGTGGGCGCGTGTGGGAACCGAGGGGCTAAAGGAAGTAAGGAGTAGAGATGGGTGGGAGAGCAAGGCTCCTGGAGGGGCAGAGAGCTGAGGGAGGGAACAAGAAAGAGGCTGCTGGGAGAAAAGGAGCATGTCGGTTTCCATGCTTAGTGAGACCTGGAGTCTGACCTGGTATCAGAAAACCCAACCTCAAGCCTGGTGTAGTGGCACAGGCCTGTAATCCCAGCGTCGGGGAGGCAGAGGCAGAAAGATCAGCCTCGGCTCTGTAACCAGACCTTGTCTTTAAAAACCAAATGAAAACACATCAAGACACGGCTACTATGGAGCTGGGCCTGGGAGACAGAGAGTGTGGCCGCTGACCTGAGGCACCCTTCTTGCAGCGCTGCAGGGAACTTCGCAATTTCTCCTCTTTGCGAGCTATCCTGTCCGCCCTGCAGTCTAACCCCATCTACAGACTCAAGCGCAGCTGGGGAGCCGTGAGCCGGTGAGTCGGGTGCCCTATGCAGTAAACCCCGCTGTGGCTCTGTCTGTGTCCTTTGCAGACCCGGACCAAGCCTTTCTCACCCCACAGGGAAGCGCTGTCCACTTTCAGGAAACTGTCACAGATTTTTTCTGATGAGAATAATCACCTCAGCTGTCGAGCAGTTCTTTCCCAGGTATTGGTACCCCAAATTCAAGAAAGTGTGGTGGTTCATGCTTGTAACCCCAACACTTGGGAGGCTGAGGCCGGAGGACCACTGTGAATTAGATATCAGCCTGGTCTACACAGCAAGGTGCAGGCTAGCAAGGTCTACATAACAAGACCAACTGAACTGTGTGAGATTCTGTCTCAAAATATCCAAAAAGTATGTGAACGGGGAGGTGGCCCATTCTGTAAAGTGTGTTCTGCACAGGCATGAGCTTCCGAGCTCAGAAGCCAGCAGCCTCGTAGAAGCTGGATGGGAGACCTCTGTAATCCCAGCACTGAGGGAGGCAGGGACTGGTGCACAAGGCGCTGGGTAGGCAGTCTAGACTAAGCATCAAGCTCCAGGCTGAGAGAGACCCTAACTCAAAAATACAAAGGAGATTAATATAGGAAATACTTGATATTCAGGGGTTTTATTTTCCCTTATGTGTATGAGTGTTTGCCTCTATGTATTTGTGTATACTGTGTACATGTATGGTACCTACAGAGCTCAAAAGAGGGCATCAGATCCCAGAACTGGAGTTATAACTGGTCATGACTGTGGAATTGAACTCAGGACCTCTAGAAGAGCAACCAGTGCTCTAACCACTGAGCCATCTCTTCAGTTCCAGGATGCTTGGTGTTGATCTTGGACACACACACACACACACACACACACACACACACACACACACACACACACACACACACCAGGCGTGGAGGTGCAGTCTCTGATCCCAGCACTTGAGAGGTGGAGGGCAGGTTGTTCAAGGACATCTGGGGACATCTGGTACAAGGCTACCCTGAACTCCAAGAGACCTTGTCTCAAAACAAAACAAAGAGGAAACAAATTTTTTAAAAAGCAGAGCCCAGCCGGGCGTTGGTGGCGCACGCCTTTAATCCCAGCACTCGGGAGGCAGAGGCAGGCGGATCTCTGTGAGTTCGAGGCCAGCCTGGTCTACAGAGAGAGTTCCAGGACAGCCTCCAAAACAATACAGAGAAACCCTGTCTCAAAAAAACAAAAACAAACAACAACAACAACAATAAAAAGCAGAGCCTGGTGGCACACACTTTAATCCCAGCACTTGGGAGACTGAGGCAGATAGAAATCTGTGAGTTCAAGGCCAGACTGGTCTATTTGGAAGTCCCAGGACAGCCAATCTCATGGAAGCATCATATTCTCAAAAACTCCTTTCCTTTTTTTTTTGGTTTTTTCGAGACAGGGTTTCTCTGTATTGTTTTGGAGGCTGTCCTGGAACTTGCTCTGTAGACCAGGCTGGTCTGGAACTCACAGAGATCCACCTGCCTCTGCCTCCCCAGTGCTGAGATTAAAGGTGTGCGCCACCAACGCCTGGCTTCAAAACATCCTTTCCTTTGTTGATCTTGTGCAAAGCTGGTCCAGTGCTTCCTTTTCCGGCTGCTTTCTCTTTTGCTCATATCCAACATCAGCCTTATTTATTCACTCAGCAAAATGCAAGGTCAGAGCAAAGAGTTACCTAAGGCCAGAGTCATAGCCAAGGCAGGGGTGGGCGGGGGAGGAACCATGTCTAGGAATTTACCTTGATAGGCAGGGTTTTCAAATGTGGGATAATATTTCTGACGTATTGATGCAGGAGTAAGGTTCTGATTAGAGTCGGGTGTTTGTCCTCAGTGTGAATTCTGTGTAGATGAACATGCAGCCTGATTCCTGGGCCTAGAATATTCTATACTATACTCCTCCCCCCAAGATAGGTGTGTGCCATGCCCACTCACCTCCTACAGGTCTCTTCCAAACCTCTCCACCTTCAAGAGGCCCCTCCCCCATCATCTCCACACTCCCCTGACCCGCCTCATGGCCCTTGTTTCTGCCTTACTTATTATGACTTGGCTGTCCCATCTTTCTTTCACTAATAGCCAGACATTTTATCTCATTTGGTCACCCCTGGCACATGACAACACAGTAGATATTAATAACTCCCGTGCAGGACTGGAGCTGGGTTCGGCTGGTAGAGACTTGTATAACATGATGAAACCTGGGTTCCATGCCGGCACTGTATAACATAGGTGAGGTTATGCACACCTGTCATCCCAGCACTCAGGAGGTAGAGGCAAGAAGAGCAGGAGTTCAGAGTCACTCTGTGCTACAAAGAGACTTTGAGACCAGCCTGGGCTACAAAGGACCCTGTCTCAAAAAAAGAAAGAAAGAAAGGAGAGAGAGAGAGAGAGAGAGAGAGAGAGAGGAGAAGAGGAGGAGGAGGAGAGAAGAGAAGAGAAGAGAAGAGAAGAGAGAAGAAAGAAAAATATTTTGTCAATGGTTAAGCAAGACAGGTAGCTCACACCTGTAAGCACAGGAATGAGACAGGAGGATCCCCAGTTTGCAACCAGCCTGGGCTATGGTGAGGCTTTATCTCAAAACAAACAAACAGTCAGGGGAACCAGAGGGATGGTTAGTGTCAAGAGCACTTGGCATTCTTTGAGAGGACCTGAGTTTGGTTCCAGTGTTCCACTCACAATGCTCACCATGCTCACTCACGAGCACCTATGACTAATCTCCAGGGAATCTGATGCCCTCTCCTGGCCTCCTGAGGCACTGCACACACCTGTACATAGTCATACACACACAAAACAAACTAAACCAAAAAACCTTCCCAGTGAAGGTGTATCTCAAAGGAAGAGGCCTCAAGGGACAAAAAGCAAACCTACTATGTGCCAGACATTGTCTTGACCCACCAAGAAACAGACACATCCTTGTTACTGTAGGGTGTTCCAGCCCAAACAGAACAGAACAGACCTTCTTGCTGTCTAAACTGTAGTCTGAACAATGCTCAGGGTCTTCAGGGCTTCCCCGGTCAGTCTGTTCTAAGTAGACTGGAAACAAATAATTGCTTCCCATCCACTCTGGGGACCTACCCCCTGCTCCAGGACTTCCCTGATTTGCAGGCTTTCTTGTCCCCAGGGTGACTCCACACCGTTCGTCGTTAACAATTCATTTGTGATGTTCTTTTGCTTTAAGACAGAGTCTCTGTGGGATAAGGGTGCCCTTGAGCACCTGGTCTTCCTGTCTCTTTCTGGAGTGCTGGGATGACAGGGATACATGGTCACAGCCAGTTTATGCACCGCTCAAGAGTGGAACCCAGCTTCCAGCTAAACCACAGCCTCAGCCCCCGGCTTATGGTCTTAAAAGCAAACATTAAATTACGCTTATTTCTGTGTGTGTGTGTGTGTGGTGGGGGAGGGCGCTCACACCACAAACTCAGGCTGGTTCTGTCCAGGTGGGTCCTGGAGTTCCCGCTCTGTGAGAAGTGTCAAAGTAGGATTCAGATTCTTCCGTCTTTCCCTTCTTCTCAGGAGGAGACCACTGAGGGACCGCATGATGATGGCTGCCTTCCAGGAAGTCTGCCATCAGTAAGTGACATGACTCAGGATGGGGACGGGAGTGGCAAGGGGGACTCCTGGAGTCAGTGGGCACGGAGTCAGTGATGCCAGTGACTAATGAGTCTTTGGGGGTTGCAGAAACTGCCCCCAGGTCCTGTCCCCTACCTCGGCACCTTCCTCACAGACCTGGTTATGCTGGACACAGCCTTACCGGATATGCTGAAGGTTTGACCCCTTACCCTTGACCCCTGACCCTTGCTCTATTGTCCCTAACACATCGGTCCTCCAGGTACCCACCTTTGATCCTGCCTTGTACCCATCCACACATAAACACACCGTGGTGGCTCACATCATCCTAGCTCTTGAGCTTGACTTTTAACCCTCCATCCTGGATGCTGTAGCTCAGGCCACCTTTGCCCCCTCAGGGAAATCTCATCAACTTTGAGAAAAGGAGGAAGGTGAGTCGGTGGGCACTTGGGTGGGTGGGATGCCCGAGGGTGGGAGGCAGGGCGGGGCAGGGTTTCAGCAGACACCTCCTCAGGAGTGGGAGATCCTGGCACGAATCCAGCAGCTACAGCAGCGATGCCAGCTCTACAGCCTGAGTCCCCGGCCACCAGTCCTGGCTGCCCTCCGAGCCCAGCACCAGCTCAGTGAGGAGCAGAGGTGACCACTCAACCAAGTCCAGATCCCGCACAGCCCATCCTTTCTTCCCTTCCAGAGCCTCCCAGACCCCTCTTGTCTGAAGGCCACCACCACCTACCTCTAACCCAGAATTCGATCCCATCTTATACTCTGATTTCAACCCTTCGTGTCCATTTAGTCATCCAACTTGAATGGCCCACCCGCTTTCCCTGTGGCCTTCTGATCCCCTCATCCACATCTGTGGCCCTGATCATTAGCTCCTAGTTGATGCTAGCTTTAATGTTCATTTGCCTGCCTTCCTCAGTTAGCCCTATTGCTTCCTTTATTCTATCCAATCCATGACCTTAACTGTTGGTCCCCTGGATTATCTGGCCCTGAACTTTAAAGTTGGCCCAGTTCCACTCTTTAGTGCAGTTTCTATTTTGTTTTGATTTGCAGTGCCCCACACATGTTAAGTCTGTGCTATAGCCCTCAGCTATAGCCCCGGCCCCTCACTGGGGGATCCTAGGCAGGGGCTCTACCCCTCAGCTATAGCCCTGACCCCTCACTGGGGGATCCTAGGCAGGGGCTCTACCCCTCAGCTATAGCCCCAGCCCTTCACTGGGGGACTCTAGGCAAGCACTCTATGTTTGAGCCACACCCCTAGCTAATCTCACCCTGTAAATGCTGTGTACCCCACTAACCAAATAGTTCACCCCATCTGTAATGCACCCTGATACCCCAGTGATTTCCATTTTTATCCTGACCTTGACACGGAACTATATTCCTTTCCCTCTCCCCACCCCATGCTAATTCACAACTCATGCCAACTCTTACCTCTTCACGCTTCACTCGGCTTCCTGCCCCATCACCTCTCACGTGCCGAACCTCTCCAGCTACCGAGTCTCCCGTGTCATTGAGCCACCAGCTGCCTCCTGTCCCAGCTCTCCACGAATCCGGCGGCGAATCAGCCTCACAAAGTGTCTCAGTGCGTGAGTGTCTGGCTGTGTCTGTGTGGGAGGGAATCATGTGGGTACAGACTGGGGGATCCACTCCCAGAGCTAAGGCATCCCTTGTCCTCACCCTAGGAAGCTGTCCCGGGAGAAGAACCCTTCCCCTGGTGGGAGTCCCGGGGATCCATCCTCACCAACCTCCAGGTGAGTATCCAGGGCAAAAGGGACTAGAGACATCAGGACCAAAAGTCCAGCCAGCCACCCCACCTTGAATGGTGTGCTTTTGCCAGTGTGTCTCCAGGGTCTCCTCCATCCAGTCCTAGAAACCGAGACCCTCCTCCTGGCAGTCCTCCAGCCTCCCCAGGGCCCCAGGGCCCCACCAACAAGGTACCATGATCATCTGTGGTTGTGTTGAAAACTGGGGCACCCAGGGTTCAGTGCATGTGCGTGTGCACGTGCGTATGTGTGTGTGCGTGTGGGGGTGTGTGTGCGTGGGTGTGGGTGTGTGCATGGGTGTGGGGGGGGTGGGTGTGCGCGTGCATGTGTGTGCATGTGTATGGGTGCGTGTGTGTGTACATGGGTGTGTGTGTATGTGTGCATGCCTGTGTGGGTGTGCGCACACGAGCGCACTCACATATAGTACTGCAGGTAGCAGAGACGGGCTGTTCTCTGCTGCTTTGTCTGGGAGACTGTACATCTTCATGGCTGTGTGAACCATCACCTACCGTCTGACTTCTCCTCAGTCTGACTTGGTTTTCGCCCTATCTGTAGGACATGCCAGGAGCGATCCCCACTACTTTTTTTTTCCTAATAAGCAGTACTCTAGCCAAGTATGGCGGTGCAGGCCTGTAATCCCAGCACTTGGAAGATGGTGGCAAGAAGACCAGAAGCTCAAAGCCATCCTTGGCTACATAATGACCCTGGGCCTCATGACATCATGCCTCAACAACAGCAATGACAAATCAAGCCAAACAAACAAACAAGTACTGGGACTGAACCTAGAACCTCACAAGTGCTCTACTACTGAGCCATGCCCTAGCTTCTCACTGGAGGATTCTATGTTACAGTCCCAACACTTTTATTACTTTTTTTGTTTTGTTTTGTTTTTTTGAGACAGGGTTTCTCTGTATTGTTTTGGAGGCTGTCCCGGCTTTACTTTTTATCTTAAGACAGGGCTTGCTGGGTGGTGGTGGTATGGGCCTTTAATCCCAGCACTCGGGAGGCAAAGGCAGGTGGATCTCTGTGAGTTCAAGACCAGTCTGGTCTACAAGAGTTAGTTCCAGGACAGCCTCCAAAGCCACAGAGAAATCCTGCCTCGAAAAACAACAAAAACAAAAACAAAACAAAGCAAAAAAAAAAAAAAAAAAGACCGGGCTTACTAGGTTGCCCAGGCTAGCCTTGAGTTTGTGACCCTCCAACCTCAGCCTCTCCAGTAGATGAGATAACAGTTCTGTTCACTGGCTTCAGCTGTCACTCACTTCTTCAAGGACATAGAAGTCCCTAAAAGTCAGCATGCTTGACAGAGAAATGGCCCAGACATCCACAGGACTATGCATGAGGTTGCTCACTGATGGGACATTGTGGGTTTCCAACTGTGAGCACACCTGTGTATGCACACTATGCGCTGTCTAGTCAGGAGCCTGGTGTGAACTTGGCTTTGTGTGTATATGGGTCATGTGTCCGTTTGTTTCTGTAACAGGGAACTGGAGTCTGTGTGTGATGGGATGACATATGTTGGTATTGTGGGTGTGCCCTAACTGTGTGTTCCCAGTCTCGCACGTGTGAGAAGGGGGTGTGAGGACTCGGGGTGAGCGTGTGTATTCACCAGCTGATTGGATATATTGGGAAAGGAGCCTTGTGGTCTTCATCACACAGATGAGCAAGGCCGCAACCTCCACCACCCCGCACTGCCTACAGCTGTCTGTGAACATGGACCCCCCCATGACCGTGAGCCTGAGCAGCTCTCGAATTCCCCTCCTTGGGCAGCAGACCTCAGAGGCCCGTGTCATCCGAGTCAGCATCGACAATAACCATGGGAACTTGTATCGGAGCATCTTGGTGAGGGCTGGGAGGGGACAGCCTTGATTTTAGATCTGAGACCCTGTGCCCTTACCACCAACTCTCTTTACCTGCTGAACCATCTCACTGGGCCTTTCCTGACCTTTTTTTTTTTTCTAGCTCACTTGTCAGGACAAAGCTCCCAGCGTGGTGCAGAGAGCCCTGGAGAAGCACAATGTGCCTCAGCCTTGGGCCCGTGACTACCAGCTCTTCCAGGTCCTGCCTGGGGACCGAGGTAAGCAGGGACAGCTTTCGGGCTGAGCTGGGCTGAGGCCCATTGGGGTGAGCAGCAGTCATTGCGGTGACAGCGCCCCTGAAAAAGTGGCTGAAGAGAGGAAGGCTTTATTTGGGCTCACGGCTCCAGAGCCACTGTGGCAGGGAGAGTACGAAGAAGCTTGAGGTCACGCTTCACACCCACCTGCAGCCAGGAAACGGGGGTGGGGCTGGGGGGTGCAGGGGGGATGGGTGGTGGTGGCCCACACCTTAATCTCAGCATTTGGGGGGCAGAGGCAGGCAGATAGCTGAGTTCAAGGTCGGTGTGGTCTACAGAGAGAGTTCAGCACAGTCAGGGCTACACAAGGAAACCCTGTCTCAGAAAACAAACAAAGCCCCCTCATTTTTGGGTAGTGCACATGTGGGGTCAGAAAGCAACTTGAGGGCACTCATTCCCTCCTCCCCGTGTGGGCTCTAGAGACCCATTTGGGTTGTCAGGCCTGGCAACTGGTGCGTCTACCCACTGAGCCACCCCACGGGTCCTTCCTGTTTTCCTAAGCAGTGCAGGACCTCAGCCACCATATCTGGGCAGGTCCTTCGCCTCAGTTAACCCAATCCAGGGAATCAGCCCAGGTTTGTCTCTGGTGTCACTTCAGTGCTCATCAAGTTACAACTGGCACAGCCATCATAGAACTCAGCTCAACCTGGGATAGCAGGATCACAAGTCGTTCAGTCAGAGTGTTGAAGCACCCTGAAGTGTGTACAATGTCTGTGCCTTTGTTCTGTGAGGTCGGGGGCGGTCCTGGCTCAGGGTAGCCTGTATCGGAGTTGTGGGGCAGTGGTGTTGTTCAGGGTCAGATGGAAAAGGAGATGTGGAAAGCTTGTAGGATTCGAGGTTGTTTAGGTTCCCCCAGTGGAGCAGGAGACTGAAGGGGTTGGAAAAGGAGCCAATGAGGACCCTGAAGTTATGTGAGCTTGGGTTATGACAGGGCCAAATGATCTTGGATTCAGGAGGGTGAAGTTGAACAGGCTTGGGCAGAAACAGGCAAGAGCTTGTGCTATAAAGCATGGTATAAAGTGAGATGGTCATCAGCACAGATTGTGTGAGGGCTGGAGAGATGGCTCAGAGGGTAAGAGCACACACTGCTCCAGCAGAGGACCCAGGTTTGGTTCCCAGCACCCACATCAGGGAGCTTATGACCACGGTAATTCTTTTTTTTTTTTTTTTTTTTGGTTTTTCGAGACAGGGTTTCTCTGTGTGTGGCTTTGGAGGCTGTCCTGGAACTAGCTCTTGTAGACCAGACTGGCCTCGAACTTACAGAGATCCACCTGCCTCTGCCTCCTGAGTGCTGGGATTAAAGGTGTGCGCCACCAACGCCCGGCTGACCATGGTAATTCTAACTCCGGGGGACTGACACCTCTGTGGGCATCTGCAGTCATGTGCATACACGCACAACTAAATGTGAAAAAGCGGGGCTGGAGAGATGGTTAAGCGGTTAAAAGTGCCACTTACACCTTCAGAAAACCGATTTGATTCTCAGCACCCACCTGATAGCTCACAGACACCTCATCCCAACTCCAGTTCCTGGAGATCCAACACCCTCCTCTCGCCTCTGTGGACACAGGCATGCACATGGTACATAGACACACATTCACACAGACAAGACACCCAAACACACAGAACTAATAACAGCGAGGCTGGGGTGATGCTCACCTGGTAGAGTGTTTGCTGTGCAAGCCCAAGGACCTGAATTGGATTCCCCAGAATCTGTGTAGGAAATCTGGGTATTGTGTTGTGTGTCAGTAATCCTGGTGCTGGAGAGACAGAGAGAGAGGAAGTTCTCTGAGGCTTACTGGCCAGCTAATCTACTTGATGAGTTCTGAACCAGTAAGGGACCCTGTCTCAAAAGAAAAAGAAAAACAAAACAACAAAAACAAACAGCAAATAAACAAAAAAGCAGTCACAAGCCCCTGAGGAACAAAACCTAAGATTGTTGTCTGGCACCGTGTTTCCAAAGATACATGAACACTCACAGGCACAGGCACACACAGGAGACTGTGAAAGAGGCTAAGCGTGGAGGTGCAGACCTGTAATCCCCACACTTAGGAGGCAAAGGCCAGCCTGGGCTACAGAGTAAACCCAAGGCTGGTCTGGACAGTTGAGTGAGACTTGTCTAGAAGAGGAAGAAAGAGCTAGAGGCAGTTGGGGTTGGTGACATGGGCTGTGATCCTAACTACTCAAGAGGCTGACAAGAAGACCCAAGTTCAAAGCCTCCCTGGGACCAGCTATGGTCTGAGTCAGAGGCCATCCTACGCTGCAGAACAAGTTCCAGATCAGCCTGGACAACTTATTGAGACCCTGTTTCTAAGGGAAATGGAAGTCTGGGATATGGCCCAGCAGCTAGAGAGCTCAGCTAACACCCTTGAAATTCTGGACTTGGTTCCAGCACAGCATATAAACCAGTCATGCTGGTGACACCTGTAACTCCAGCACTCGGGAGGTGGAGGCATGAAAATCAGGAGCTCAAGGTCATCCTCACCTACATAGAGTAGGAAGCCTGCCTAAGCTATGTCAGACCCTGCCACAGAAACAGTAACGAGAAAGAAGCTGGCTGGGGATGTAGTTAAGTGGCAGACGACTTACCTTACATAGTCGAGGCGTGTACCGTGGAGAAAGGGCTGGGGGTGTAGTTCAGTGGCAGAGTACTTGCCTAGTGTGTGTAAGGCTGGGTGCAAAGCGCAGCGCCCACGTGTGTGTGAGATACATTATACATATAAATATTCATACACATATACGTACTATTAGTTACTTTTCTGTTGTTCTGACAAAGGCAACTTATAGGAGGAAGTTTATTTGGGCTCAGGGTTCCAGAGGGTGAGAGTCCACGACTGGATGTGGAGAGCTGAAGCTGGTGGCTCACATCTTGAATGGTGAGCAGGAAGCAGAGAGTCCGAACTTGAAATGGCTCATGTCTTTAAACTCTCGAAGCTCACCCCAATGATATACCTCTTCCAACAAAGCCACATTCCCCAAGCCTCTCCAAACAATGCCACCAGCCGGGGCCCAAGTATTCAGATGCTCAAGAGTGTGAGGGACCAGTTTCAGCCACCACTACCCACCCGCACCAAGAGGTGTTCAAGTGTTGAGTGTGAAAGCCCTTAGCTTAGCAGGCTGCAGTGGCGGAAGCCATCTGAGTTCATTGTCACAGTAGTCTGAGCTTGCCTGGGTAGCGGTTTGGGAGAGGCTGGGGTGTGGGAGAAGTCATTTGAATGATAGAGGGTTGTCCAAGGAGCTCCCAGACTTTCCGGCCACACCCATCCTGGTCCCCATTTCCATGCAGAGCTCCTGATTCCAGACAGTGCCAACGTCTTCTATGCAATGAGCCCGGCTGCCCCTGGCGACTTCTTGCTGCGTCGAAAAGAGGGGACACGGCATACACCTTCAGCCTCCCCAACCTGAGGCAGTGCTCACCTCACTCTGGCACCATGGACAACTTGGAACCTGGCTTCTACCTCCATCTGTGTAGGAGGCCCATTTCCTGAAGGACCTCCATCCCCCAGGGGGAGGGGGCCCATTTCCTGAAGGACCTCCATCCCCCAGTGGAAGCCGTTTTGCTCTATATCCCGGGAATTCCCCAGCATTAGCCCACTGGAACCCATCTCTCTGACTCCCTGGGTACTTGGCTATTATTCCAAAAACATGGATGTATGAGAAGAGTATAAAACTCAGAAAAAAAGAGCCTTCGGAGCTGGAAGCTCAGCTTAGCAGCAGAGCTCTTGACCAGCATGCCAACCAGGGATGGTTTTCAGCACTCCCTAAAATAAAAGTCCTAAGGGGTTTGGACTATAGGGTGTAGTTCAGTTGGACCTTACCTAACATGTGGCAGGCAGGACTTTGAGAGCCAGCACTGAGTATATCCAGCATGTTAGCACATGCCCATAATCCCAGTGCTTGGGAGGTGCAGGCAGGACGATCAGGAGTTTGTCATCCTTGGTTACATAATGAGTTGAAGGCAAACCTGGGCTACATCATAAAACCTCATTCAAAAACAAACAAACAAAGAACCTAAGAAAAGGTTGAAAAAGTGGTAACCAGAGCCCAGGGGTTTCTCCCTCGGCTTCAGAAGGTGCCATCTGCTTTTCTGTCACACGCATGAAGAAATAAGAAGAGGGAAGACGTTAGTCATCTCTTGTAAATCCAGGCAGTGAGAAACTGGGATGGCAGTGCACGCCTATCGCCCTAGCACTGGAGGTAGGGGCAGGAGGGCCTCGAGTCCGAGGTCATTCCAGCTGTAGTGTGAGTTCCGGACCTGCCCGGGACATCACTTCCTGTAAGTGAAGAGAGGCAGCATAGATGGACTGAGCTTGGAGTTACAGTAGCAAGAGCAGCAGCAGCACTCTGGGCTTCTGCTGTGAACTAGAACTCAGGGGGTTCTAGGTCTCCCTGAGCCGTTTGGTTTCAAGGGCACCGCACAGTGGTTTAGTGGAGAAGCCTTAATTCAGATCCCTGGCACCCACAGAAACAGCAGGGCATGGTGGGGTGTGTCTATAATCCCAACTCCAGGAGGTGGAGACAGACAGGTCCCAGGAGTTCACTGGCCAGTCATTTCAGTGTGAGACCCTGTCTCAATAATGTTGAGGGGCCATAGAGATGTCCCAGTGGGTAAAGGTGCTTGCCAGGCAAGCCTAGTGACCTAAGTTCAATCCTAGGATCCATGTAAAAGAGAAAACTGACTCTGCAAAGCTGTCTTCTGATCTACGTGTGTGCCACAAGACATGTGCTCCCAACACACATCTTATACACATGCAAAACAAGTAAACAAGTAACATCAACCTCTGGCCTCTGTGTGAGTATGCAAGAGTGAGCACACACACACACACACACACACACACACACACACACACACACACACACGCCTATTGAAGTAGCACTTGCCAAAAAGATGCTGATATCTCCTATACTGAAAAGTCCAACAAGGGCCAGGCAGTAGTGGCGGGACTCGGGAGGCAGAGGCAGGCGGATCTCTTCAAGATCAGGTCAACCTGGTGTACAGATCGAGTTCCAGGACAGCCAGGATACACAGAGAAACCCTGTCTTGAAAAAACAACAACCGAGAGAGACAGAGAGAGAGAGAGAGGAAAGTCCAATAAAAGGCTGCCTCAGTGATTAAGAGCACTTGTTCCTACAAAGGATCTGGTTCAATCCCCAGCACACACAGGAGGCACTAGGCACAGATGCGGTGCTCAGACATACACACAAAATAATAAAATAAATCTTTAAAAGTATTTTTAAAAAGAGAACAGTTTAATAAGGTCTACAGCCATAAGCCTGATCTCATCTGAAGATTCAGTAAGTCTGGCTTTAGGTACAGCGGATTCAGGGACTCCAATGACATCGTCAGGATTTTGTTGTTTTCTTGACTCTGATTTGCCTTGAGAATAAGATTGTCTGTTCTCCCTCAAATCCACTCACTTCCTACAGAAATAGAGCCACTGATTGTGGGAACAAGAGACCTTGGCCCACTTCCCCATCAGCCTGGGAGCAGGCAGCTATAACCAACCACAGAGAAGACATGTTTACTAAAAACAATCTGGAGCAATAAGTTCCTGATAAGGCCTCACCCACTGGAACACCCTGACCTTGACCTTTTCCAATGACTAACCGCCTCTTCCTGAACCCCCACCCCAACACTAGTGTCAGGGCATATAACCAGCTGGGGTAAGAATAAAGTGGGGCCTTCTTGAGGCCTTCTAGAAGCCTTCCTTCACCACCAACGGGTCTCTGTGTCATCAATCCCGACACCCTCCACACATTCTCGGACACAGGCTGCGCGGCAACTGACCTTCAGGCACTCCAGTAAAGGCCACAGATGTGCTTGTCATTCCCGCACTCAGAAAGCTGAAGGAAGATGGGTTTAAGGCCAACCCGAGTTACATAAGAGACCCTGTGTCCAAACATGAACACCTCCCCTTGTACATGGTAAGCAAGTGTTCTACCATTGAGCTACAACCAAAAGAAAAAGGTTGTTTTGCCTAACTTTCCTGTAGCAAATATAGTCATATAATTAATTCTTGGCCAATGAGAGATACAATGATGTGAAGTTGGCCAATTCCAAGGGATACTCTTAAATAGGAGTGAGTTTTCTCTTTCCACATTTCCTGCTTTCTGTTGGTTAGAATGAAGACAGGAGGTTACCAATGTGGTTGAGTAATTACATCCTCTGAATAACCGAGCAACAAGTGGGAAGGCATCAGGGCCCCTGGAGCCGAACAGCTGCTATATAGATTGCTGTCACTTGGAGAGTAATGTCAGAAATAAATTGCTATCTCTTCCTGCTATCCCTTGGTTTTGTCATAGTGTCCAAAAGAATATTCTTCCGCTAGAGGGTGGTGGAGCACACCTTTAATCCCAACACTAAGGCAGAGGCAGGAGAATTTCTGAGTTTGAGTGTAGCACGATTAATAAATGACCCAGAGACAGATATTGAGGTTCAAGCTTCAAGCTGAAGATCAGAAAAGCAAAGCAGCCTGCCATTAGCTCTTACCTCTACCTCAGCTCAGACCAAAGGAGCGATCTTCAGACTTCTCCCGACCTCACTGCTCCTCACATTCACTCAGACTGCTATGCTCTCCTCAACGTGGCTAGAGACTCACTCTTGGATTGAGTGCCTCTACCTTTTACAACTCTCAATTCCTGGGATTAAAGGTATGATCTCTGACTCACTCTCCAGTAGCCCAGGGTGGTCTTCAACTCAGAAATTCATCTACCTCTTAATCCTGAGTCCTGGGATTAATGGTGTGTGCCTGGTTTCTATGGCTAACTAGTATGGACTGCTTTGCTATTTTGATCTTCAGTGGCTTTAATAAATCATAAAAAATGTATCACCATATTCGAGGCCAGCCTGGTCTATGGAGACAGTTCCAGAACAGCCAGGCTTTTATACAAAGAGACCCTGTCTTTCTGAAACCAAACCAAACAAAAAGAGAACATTCTTGGGTGTTTTGCTTTGCTGTTTCTATCATTATTATGAGTGTGTGTGTGTGTGTGTGTGTGTGTGTATTCATGTTCTATACATGTGAATGCAGGCGAGCTCACAATCCAGAGGGAGAGTTAAAGGTCTTAGTTGGTTGCTCTCCACCCTAGTTTTTGAGACAGGATCTCTCACTGAACTGGCGCTCACCCATTCATCTAGACTGGCTGGCCAGTGAGCCGCAGGGACCCCTGTCTCCATCTTGCTGCAGTGAGATTTCATGCAGGAGCTCTTCATCCTGCATTGTACACACATGTGGGGGGCTTAACCTTACCTAGCGAGCCATCTCCCCAGCCACTATTTCTCAAGTGTTCTCTGGGCTTCAAAGGTTACGCCTCACAGGGCAGCAGTGGTAGCCTTACGTCTCACAGGCTCTACACATAGCCGGGAACAGTGCTTCTTGCTCCCATTTGCTAAATCCTAGAGCATGGTGAATCCCTTGGGTGAACCTGGGTCATGTCTGAACCAGTCACTGTCCTGACCACTGGCCAGGTCCAGGCTCTACCCTCATCTCCGGGCCTGGCAGGGAGGTTTCAGATCCTGGGTAGAGTTTGAGAGGAAACGTGTATTCAAGGTAAGTTTAAGAGCTGCTAGGAGGAAGAGAGAGAATTCTGGGAGCGGGGATAAAAACCATTTCTGTTGTTCTGAACATTGTCTCAGTAGCATATTTGGAAGGCACGTGTTGAAAAGCATGTAAGCATCGTATAAGGTTTGAGAGACCAATTACAATCTTTTTAACATTTTCAAATTTTATTTAATTCTATTTTATTCATTATTATTTGTATTGTTGTTGTTATTGTTATTATTGGTTTTTTCGAGACAGGGTCTCTTTGTATAGCTCTGGCTATCCTGGAACCAGCTCTGTAGACCAGGCTGGCCTAGAACTCGCAGAGATCTATCTGCCTGCCTCTGCCATCTGAGTGCTGAGACTAGCAGTGTGCACCACCACACATACCTATGTCCTAAAGTACTTACTTATTTTTATCTACTTTATGTTCGAGGATAGAACTGGGGTTGCAGACAGTTAGTTGCGGGTCACTAAGTGGGTTCAGGAATCAAACCTGGGTGCTTTTAACTGCTGAGCGTCTCTCCAGCCCAGGTGTCTTTCTTTCACTGATGTTAACTTGTCAAGACAGTTTGTAGCTGGGCGTTGGTGGCTCATGCCTTTAATCCCAGCACTCAGGAAGCAGAGGCAGGCGGATCTCTGTGAGTTCGAGGCCAGCCTGGTCTACAGAGCGAGTTCCAGGACAGCTTCCAAAACAATACAGAGAAACCCTGTCTCGAAAAACCAAAAAAAAAAAAAAAAAGACAATTTGTATCAGACTGTAGAGAAGGCTCGGAGGTTAAGAGCACTGCCTGCTCTTCCAGAGGTCCTGAGTTACATGGCTAACAACTATCTATAGTTGGATCTGGTGCCCTCTTGTGGTATACAGGCAGATTTAAGAATAAAAATAATAATAAAGTCCATTTGAACTAGCTTGAGTGTGTTCTCCCCATCCCACACCCATCTCCAGGCCAGGCCTGGTGGCACACATCTGTAATCACAGCTTGGGTGGGGAAAGAGGAGCAGGTAGGAAGAGCCTTTGACACATAACCAAACTGTCTCCAAAGAGTTTTTTAAGACATAATAAGATGGGCTGGAGAGATGGCTCAGCGGTTAAGAGCACTGACTGTTCTTCCAAAAGGTCTTGAGTTCAATTCCCAGCAACCACATGGTGGCTCACAACCACCTTGAACTAGCTCTGATGCCCTCTGCTGGCCTGCAGGCAGAAGATTGTATACATAAAAAAAAAGACATATACAAGTGCCCCAAAAGCCCATTTCTTGAGGAATAGGGTCACATTGGTAGCTGTCTTTTGCTGTTGTTTCGTATGTTTGAGCCTTTTGCCTGTATTTACATATGTGCACATGTGTACCATGTCCATGGAGACCAGGAGAGGGTGTTGGATCCCCTGGAACTGGAGTTACAGACAGTTGTGAGACACTGTGTGAGTGCTGGGAATTGAAACCAGGTTCTCTGCAAGAGCAGCGGGTGCTCTTATGTGCTTATGTATTTATCTATCTGTCTACCTATCTATCCATGTATGTATCTATGTCCATATCCATACATGTATCCTATGTTTATATCCATGTTTGTATGTATCCATACATGCCTACCCATGTATACATGTATGTATCCACCTGTCTATCTTGGTGGTGCTGGAAATAAACCCAAGGCTTGCCACCTGCTAGGCAAGTGCCTCACCACTGAGCTATATACTCCATTCAACTTTGACCCTGACCCTGTGGTGGCACAGGTCTGTGATCCCAGCAATCAGGAACCTGAGACAGGAGGATTGCCACAATTCCAGGACAGTCTGGACTGTGGCAAAAAGAAAATAAAAAACCCATCCTGGGGCTGTAGCTTAGTTGGTAGAGCACTTGCCCAGCATGCTTGAGGCCCAGTCAGCACCACACAGACTGGAGATGGTGGTGCTTGCCTGCCATTCCAACACAAAGGGAGTGGAGGCGGAGGACGGAGGGTCAAGACCACCCTTAGTCAGACAGTGGATCTGTATAGCTTTTCCAGACCCTGTGGGAAAAAGAGACCAGGGCTGGTGAGACGGTTCAGCAGGAAAAGGTCCCGTCTGCTAAGCTTGAAGACCTAAGCTCATCAGTGCTGGGAACCCACGGCAGGAGAGAGCTGGCTCCCAAGTTGTTCTGAGCCGTGTTTCCTGCATACACGCGCGCGCACACACACAAATGTTTACTATTTTTAAAAACATAAATGATATGTTCCAAAATCTGTGTAATCCACAAACAAAAAACACCATAGTATGTTGTTTGTCAAAAGCACGGCGGGTCCTGCTCACGCGCCAGTTGGTAGTCTAGGATTCTTATTTCAAACCGCGTTAAGAAAGAGATCCTGCCTGGAGCATTAGCATAGCTTCCCGAGGGGCTGCGCAGCAGGCTACATTTACAGACGCCCTGACTAAACGTAAAGAAGGTTAAGTCACCTGTCCATGACCACGTTAGCAACCCACACACAACGCCCCCCCAAAACCCTGCCCCACTCCCTACATTGGTTTAGGCAGCTGCTGTGCCCAAGAGGGCCCCTGTTCCCTCCGGAGGCTTGTGGCTTATCTGTCCCCGACTGCGTGCTGGCCCCGCCCCCTGGAGGGAGCTGCCACTTGGAAGCTCCTGGCCAGCTGTGTCCGGCAGCTGCTGCTGACCCAGCTGTGGACTAGGGGAAAGGGAGGAGAGCAACGGGGAGGGGAGGCGGGGGGGACACAGAGGGGCTGCAGCCCTGGGCTTCCTGAAGCTGGGGCTGCACCATGGACCACCTCAGGGCACCCCTCTGGCCTCGGGTTGGCCCCCTCTGGCTCCTACTTGCTGGAGCAGCCTGGGCTCCCTCACCCAGCCTCCCGGACCCCAAGTTTGAGAGCAAAGGTAAGAGCTGCACATGGGTTACCTCCTCATTAGTCATAGAGGGCAATTCTATGACCTGAATTTCCAGTCTGGTCCCAGGACTATAGGTCCTCTGAACCCCCAGATGGGTTTCTAGGGGCCAAACTGGTGTCTGTCGATGTCTGACCCTGGAGTGATGCCAGGCGGAGAAGTCTTAGAAGGGCTTAAGCTCGTTTTAGCTGTTTGTTTGAACAAGATCTCACTAGGTAGACAAGGCTGGCCTTCAGCTGCTAGGATTAAAGGCAAGTGTCACCATGCCTGTACTGGTTTTGTTTTTGTTTTTATTTCTGAGGCAGGGTCTCATGTAGCTCAGGCTGCCCTCAAACTCACAATGTAACAGAGGTTGGGCTTCAACTCCTGATCCTCCTGCCTCCACCTCCCAGTTGCCGGGGTGGTGTTAGCCAACACATTTGGCTCTGTTTTGTGTTTTGAGGGAGTCTGGGACGGGACTAGAAATCGCAAGGGCAGGGTAGGTCAAAGCTCCTGGCTGGGGGCGATCAAGCTCACAGTGGCCCTGTGAAGAGGATCTGCAGGACCTGGCTGCATGCGACTGTAAACACGGTTTGGAGTGCAGGACCTGGCTGCATGCAAGTAAACACGGTTTGGCGGGCGGATGGTGCTAGATCTCTTGCACCGCTTGCTAGGAGGAGGAAGGAGGGCGGGGGACACGGTTGGCGCTATCGGCGGGCAACCGGGTGCCTGCCGGGACCGATAGGAGGTCAGTTCGCTGCACACACGCGCGCTAGGGCGGGGCGAGCACCGCTCAACTTGCAGGATAGAGGGCGTGTGCATGGGGGTGGGACAAGGCAGGCTGGGTCACTACGCTTAGGAGCTCTAGGCCACTTCTGCAAGACCCCTCGAAGGCCCTTATGGAGATGAGGGCGGGGCACTAAAATTATCGGGTCTGCACAGGCGACAGGAGGGAGGGTAAGGGGACTGTGGAGGACAGGCCTCGACTTCCCTGACCACCACCCACCTACCCACGCCATGGCAACCCCCTCCCTAGCGGCCCTGCTGGCATCCCGGGGCTCCGAAGAGCTTCTGTGTTTCACCCAGCGGTTGGAGGACTTGGTGTGTTTCTGGGAGGAAGCGGCGAGCTCCGGGATGGGCTTCAACTACAGCTTCTCTTACCAACTCGAGTGAGTCCCCCAGGACTGGGTGACCTAAGGCTGGAGTGCGGGCAGCGGGGCTTCCTGGATAGACTGGAATGTCCGTTCCCCCATCCCCCCTCTCCGTCTGGAGTCAGGGTTAAGGGTGGCAAGTTGGGGGGTGGAGGTTGCCCCCTGGTGACCGGGGCTGGAATAATTGGGCTCCGGTGTCACGTTGGAGGTGGGGCACTCCGTGATCAAAATGCTCTGGTTTCCACTATCTGAGCAAAAGATAGCAGAAACTCTCCAGTCGCCTCCTACCCTCCCTGCTAGTTCAACTTCTTCTCGGTTTCCCTGGTTGCACAGGGGTGAGTCACGAAAGTCATGTCGCCTGCACCAGGCGCCCACAGTCCGCGGCTCCGTGCGTTTCTGGTGTTCTCTGCCGACCGCCGACACGTCGAGCTTCGTGCCGCTGGAGCTGCGCGTGACGGCAGCCTCCGGATCTCCTCGCTACCACCGCATCATCCACATCAATGAAGTTGGTAGGTGAGAGGGGATGGGAGCGGCATCCGTCGGGGCGGAGCCAGGGCCGGGTCCCCGCCTACACGACCCACTTCACTTTCCGCAGTGCTCCTGGACGCCCCCGCGGGGCTGCTGGCGCGTCGGGCAGAGGAGGGCAGCCACGTGCTGCTGCGCTGGCTGCCACCTCCCGGAGCACCTATGACCACCCACATCCGCTACGAAGTGGACGTGTCTGCAGGCAACCGGGCGGGGGGCACGCAAAGGGTGAGAGCCGGAGCGGACAGCCGCCTCCAACAGCCCAAGCCCAAAGTCCCACTCCTTCAGGGCCCGCCCCCAGTGCCCAACATCCCACCGCTCTTTTTCAGTTGCTCTCTTTTCCGACATTTAAACGTTTTTAAAAGATAGCATTTATGTATGTGTGTGTTGGGTGCACTTGTAGAGGCCAGCGAACAACTTTAGCGAGCCTTCACCGCTTGGGTCCACTGAGCTAGCTCACATTAGTCACGCCCACTTCCCCCACTCCCACTTTGCTCAGGCTTCCCGGGCAACCCATCAGAGCCTCAACCCCTCTCACAACCTGGTTCTTATCCTCAGACCGCAAGGAGGCGCTCTCTGTGAGGGGTCTGGCTCTGCCTTTAACCCAGAGCCAGCCCTTGACTTGGGGTGGGGGTGGGGGTCCTTGCTGTGATTGCCTTGCCTGTTGATACGGTTACTTGAGAAGTACCCTTCTCCTTATTGGGGTGCTGGCTAGATGACTCCGCGCAAGCTCGCACATCCTCTTCTCACTGGGTGCTAGTTGGTTAGATCTCTCCTGGCTTCACCCGCCCCTAGGTGGAGGTCCTGGAAGGGCGCACCGAGTGTGTTCTGAGCAACCTGCGGGGCGGAACGCGCTACACCTTCGCTGTTCGAGCGCGCATGGCCGAGCCGAGCTTCAGCGGCTTCTGGAGCGCCTGGTCTGAGCCCGCGTCGCTGCTGACCGCTAGCGGTGAGGCCCCAATTCCCCAGAGTGAAGGATGAGGCGTGCCAAACACCGGGCAAACCTCCCTGACCTCCTTCCTGTCTCCCAGACCTGGACCCTCTCATCCTGACGCTGTCTCTCATCCTCGTTCTCATCTCGCTGCTGCTGGCAGTGCTGGCCCTGCTGTCCCACCGCCGGTGAGCCCCCAACCCGAGCTAAGCTCTAACTTACATCTTCCTCTAGAGAAAGCAAGGCTGAGGCTCTTGCCCAGAGTCACGAAGTCGCCTGTGATAGAATGCAAGTCAGACGACACCCCAGACTCTTGAATTCTTTGTTCTGGGACACCTACTGTAGTTCGTTGATTTTGGCGATGACTTCTTCCTGCAGTCCTTTGTGGGTTCCGTTTCCCAATGTAGTCAACTTTGTCAAATCACCAGCTAGTTAATGGGAGATATTTAAGCCCAGTGGCTTTAATGACCTGAGGTGTTTATAATTCTCGGTGCACTCAAAGCTTTGCCTTTCCTACTTTTCCAGAAAGCTCACATCCTGTTTGCCTTTCGTGGGCCTGTGTATTTACTTCGTTGAAGCACGCGCACACGCGCGCTAACACACACACACACACACACGTTCTGGCGGTTCTGGGGATCCCACCCCCAGCCCATGGAAAAGAGTGATGAAGAGTGTGAAGAAGCAGGGACTAAACGATCCTAGCTAACCTTCTGTAGGGCCCCATGATGCCTCCTCCACAGGCTGTTTCCCACCCCGGCAGGAACATTGGTGTCACTGTGGATGGGAGTCTGAGAGGGTGTGGGTGAGTGTCCAGCATCACACATCCATGGACTCGTTTCTGACAACTTTCACAGGACCCTGAAGCAGAAGATCTGGCCTGGCATCCCAAGCCCAGAGAGTGAGTTCGAGGGTCTGTTCACCACCCACAAGGGTAACTTCCAGGTAGGTGACCTGCTTGTTCTCTGCGCTCCTGGGGCTGCCTTCTGACGAACACAGAAGCCCGGGCCTCTGAGCAGGAGGGTGCTCTCTTCCCAGCTGTGGCTGCTACAGCATGATGGCTGTCTGTGGTGGAGCCCAAGCAACTCCTTCCTCGAGGATCCACCTGCCCACCTTGAAGTCCTCTCAGAGCGCTGCTGGGGGGTGCCACAGGCAGGGGAGCCAGGGGCGGATGATAAGGGGCCCTTACTGGAGCCAGTGGGCAGTGAACATGCCCAGGACACCTACCTGGTATTGGATGGGTGGCTGCTGCCCCGGAGCCCATGCAGTGAAGACCTCTCTGGATCTGGAGACAGTGTGGACCCAGGGACTATGGATGCAGGCTCAGAAGCATCTTCCTGCCCCTCGGACTTGGCCTCAAAGCCCCGGCCGGAGGGCACCTCCCCTTCCAGCTTTGAGTACACCATCCTGGACCCCAACTCGCAGCGCCTATGCCCGAGGGTACGGCCTCCTGAGCTCCCTCCCACCCCACCTCACCTGAAGTGCCTGTACCTTGTGGTGTCGGATTCGGGCATCTCAGCAGATTACAGTTCGGGGGGCTCCCAGGGAGTCCATGGGGACTCATCTGGCGGGCCCTACTCCCACCCCTATGAGAATAGCCTTGTCCCAGACCCAGAGCGTCTGCACCCCAGCTATGTGGCCTGCTCCTAGGACTCCAAGCTACAGGATTCCAAGCCCACAGTTTCTTGAGCAGGGTTTGTGAGGCCTTTTTTGTTTTGTTTTGTTTTGTTTGTTTGAGACAGAGTTTCTCTGTGGCTTTGGAGGCTGTCCTAGAACTCTCTTTGAAGAACAGGTTGGTCTCAAACTCACAGAGATCCGCCTGCCTCTTCCTCCCGAGTGCTGGGATTAAAGGCATGAGCCACCACCACCTGTCGAGGCCATACTTAAAGATACAGCTGACCTTGGCCCTCTGCTTAGCCCATCCCGCCCAGGAAGTGACAGCCTTGCAATGTTAAGATGGACCGTTAGCTGTCTGTATATAGAAGTTTAATACATATCGGTTTTTCTACCATGACTTTGTCTTACTTGTGTGTGTACATATATGTGGGTGCATGTAGCCTCAACTCATGTACGACAGAGAGCTTTGCTCCTGCCATACTTTGTGTCCAAGGCCAGCTGTCTATGCTTCTGGTTGTTTCTCTGATCTCTGTACATCTTGCCTTTGGATTCTGGATCAGACCACACACCACAGCCAGGCTTTTTTGTTTGTTTCTCGCATGAGTTCAGCGATGTGAAACTCATGTCCTTAGGCTTGCATGGGAAATGTCTTTACTCTGCGTTCTCGTGCTAGTCCATATTTTAGTTATTTGACACATGGTAGTTGAAGGTGACCTTGAACTCATGATGCTTCTGCCTCTACCTCCCAAGTGCTGGGACTCCAGGCTTGTTCTGCCACACTGAGCTAATGTGGTGCTGGGGATTGAACTCAAGCTTCATACACGGTAGGCAGGACTCTGCCCTCGGCCAGGGCCTCAGTAAACACCCTCAATTCCCATCTTTCATGAACCTAAACTATGGGAAAACACAGCTGAAGTCATTGAGCTAAGACTGAAAGTTTGGATCTGGCAATGAAAGTTGGGACACAACAGTCAGAGTACGTTGGACTAGTGCCAACACACCCACCTGAAACTTAGTGCCTTATCCGATGCTTTGTGACACTGCTTCTGGGGACATGAAGTAACATCCACTCACTCTGAGTAGAAATTCTACGACAGACCAAAGAATGAGTGGCACCAAAGTCCCATTTGATGAACCAATCTGGGGTTATGTGCAGGATTATGGGTGAGGGGTTACTTACAGAAGTGGAAACTGCTCAGACGGCCGCAGCACCAAAGCCCACCCCAGCGTGGGTGACATCTCACCAAAGCTGGGAACCTGGAGCTCACTGCACAGCCTGCAGACAGCTCACAGGTTGGAGAGCATCCTTTCCGAGCAGCTCAGCTCATCTGAGTTTCAGGGACTTCCTGACACCTTTGAGTTGTTCGCTTCCTGAGCTTAAGGAGCTCCCATTGCAGGATGACTTTATAATACCCTGGTCTTGGGCTTACCTCCAAGATGGATTTTTTAAAAGATTTATGTACTTTTATTTCATGTTATGAGTGTTCTGCTTCTATGTATGTATGTTCACCACTTCATGTCTGGTGCCCAAGGAGACCAAAAGAGAGCGTCAGATCCCCTGGAGCTGTAATTACAAATGGTTGTGTCTGACGTGGATGCGGGAACTGAACCCAGGTTCTATGAGATACTTCTTAACCACTGCGCCCTCTCTCCAGCTCCCAGTGTTTGCCTTTGAGACAGGGTCTCACTATGCAGCCCTGGTTGACCTGGGACATTCTGTATAGACCAGGCTGACCTTAAACACAGACAGATCTGCCTGCCCATGCTAGGATTAAAGGCCTGGCCCATTCTGTTCTTTCCAGACAGGGTCTAGTGTAGGCCAGAGTGGCTTCCAACCTTACCCTAAGTAGCCAAGGACAACCTTGCACTGTGACCTCCTATCTCTGCATCCCAAAGCTGGGCTTGAAATTTTGCAGAGCACCATGCTCAAACTCAGTTAGTGGCTTTAGAAATGTATGTCCTGAGAAAGCTGAACATGTGAACGCTCTGTCCAGTGATTCCACTTCCGACTGTTCGGCCTAAGCACAGGTGCACGGTCACGTGTGTGCGTGATAGACTCCCTAACAGTACACAAGCCAAGACACAGAGGTAACTCGCATGCCACCCATAGAGTGTGCAGGAGGGGCCGTACGGAAGCCTGGAGGGTCAGGAGTTCACTAACCTGAGCTACACGTGATCCTGTGGGGAAAGAATGCAACAAGTAAAAAGAAATGAACTAGGAGACGTGGCTGAATCTCTAACAATGGCAAGTGGGCAAAGGAAGCCTCAGATGACTGTATTCATTTATTTAAAGGTTTTATTTTATTACTACTAGTGTGGAGGGCACGTGTGTGCCTCTACCCAAATGTGGGGGTCAGAAGACAACTTGTAGGAGTCAGTTCTAGTTTTCTACCATATGGATGCCGGGGATCAAAGCCAGGTGATCACGCTTGCTGGCAAGGCCCCCAACCTACTGAGCCATCTTGCCGGCCCCAACAAGGCTACATTTTCCAGGTCTGTGAATCTGCAGCTGCCCCCGAAGGAAGTATTCTATCCAATGGAAACTGAGCCAGAGAGGTTGTCACATTCCAGAGTTAATGACTGGCTCTCGGCACTTGAACACTTCTTCTCTGGGCCGGGCTTAGAAGCCTGGGTAGGCCACGGGATGACCTTCATCTCTCCGTTGGGTAAGAAGGTCACTGACCACTCCATCCTGGGGCTCAGCTTGCCCGACTCCAGGCTGGCTCGAAGGCAGTGGTGCTGTCCCAAGCCCAGGGCATCTGGCTGCAGCCAGCACTGTGCAGGGAAATACCGTCGAAGCGTTGTCAGATGTGGGACATCACCGTCTGCTCCTTTTTGGGTCTCCAGGGCCACCACAAGCCCGCAGCTGCCATTGGCTCCAAGGCGGTGGCTGAAGTGGGCAGCAGTATCCAAAAGCAATGCAGCTAAGTAGGCGACGTCCTGGACCTCGGAGTCCTCGGCTAGATATTCTTCCAGGCCGTCCAGCAGTAGAAGGGACGGGGCAGGCCCGGGGGCCTCATGGGCAGAGGCCAGCAGTTGGAGGAGCTCTGGAACTGAGGATGGGTACTGGAATCGAACCTTCTAGAAGACAGGAAAAGGCAAGATTTAACAAAGGAGGTCAAGACTCCCGACCACGGCTGCCATGTTGCGGCTCTCGAGCCCCATATGTAAAGATGAAACACCAACTCAGATATCCTTTGTCGTTCCTTGTCACCTGCCCCATTCCAGCGTGTATCACTGCCCAAGTTTATTTAAGGAAATAGTCTTTTCTTTTTCCTTTTCTTTTGATACAGGGTCTCATGTAACCCAGGGTGACTGAAAACGCTCGTTATGTAGCCGGATGGCTTGACACTACTGAAAGCTCCTGAGAGCTGAGTCACAGGCGTGCATTCCCACGCCTGCTCACAGGAATGGAGCCCAGGGCTTCTCGCGGGTTAGCTAAGTGGTTGTTGTTGGGAAAGAAAGCGCGCGTTCCCAAGGGAAACCAACTCAACTGTAGCCCCAGGTTCTACCCTGACTCCACCTGCTTGGCGCCCACGCTCGCTAACGCCGACCGATCACAGGATGCTCCTTCAATCGATCGTAACTAACCCCACTGCTCCGCCCCACGTGGCTACCCCGCCCACCTCTTCCACGCAGACCTTGTGACGTGCCATTGGCCTGCCCACCTGTCACTCATGCACAACCTCTCTTGCCATTGGGTGACTCCGTTACCTGGAGCCGCCAGGGGTTCCGCGCGGCGGGGGTGTTGAGCGGCAGGCTCTGAAGCGGCCTTCGTGTCAGGAAGAGGACAGGCCCGCGGCCTTCCCCTGCTGCCTCAAGGGCGGCCGCAAACAGCAGCGACGTCTGCGCGGAGCGCGGGGCGCCTAGCAGCAGCAATGGCGGCCCGGCAGCTCCATCCCCCCCGGGCCCTGCAGCGCGGCCTTCATTCAGCACCCGCCTCAGCGCCTCCGCCATTTGCCGAGTACCGCTGACCAATCAGAGATGCGTTCTCATCCCGGGCCCGCCCACGCCGATGCCTCATTGGCTGTCGTTCACAGCTTGCCTCTGGGTCTCTGGAGCTGTGGTCCTTGGGCAAAACACGGAACGAGGAGGGAAGTGGTGCTTGAAGGAGTCTGCTGCCGGAAGCCGCGTGGTCAGGTTAAAAGCAAGGTCGAGGGTACGAACGCGCTCCCCAGAGACGCCCAGCCTCTAGGTCGGAGCCGGAGAGGATGGCTCAGCCGTTAGGAGCACCGGCTGCTCTTCCCAAAGACTTGGGTTCGGTTCCCACCACCTTAACGCCCGTTCCGGGGGATCCGACGCCCTCTGGCCTCCGCGGGCACGAGGCTCACCTAGACACCCGTGTGCGCATACACACACGCACGCAAAATAAATATTAAAAACAATGTACGTCACCCTCAGCTACATATTGAAGTTTTCGGCCAGCCTGGGCGACATGAGCACCTGTCTTAAAATAAATAATAATAAAAACCTAACCTCAGCTTGCCCACCAGCAAAACGAGTATTATGATTCCTTGTGATCGCTGCAATGTGTTGGTGTGAATATTCACTAATATCGCCGAAGGACAGTTCACAGATGGAAAGGGACAGCTGTTCACTTGTCTCTGCATGTTGGGATATGGGAATATGCGTATATGGGCTACAGAGTTGGGACTCAGATTTACACTTCCTGGAACTCTGAGGATGACTTCTGCTCCATTGCCGAGTTAATGCGGGGCTGGGGATCAAGCCCAGGGTTTTGTGTTAAGCAAGCACTCTACACGCTGCCTCGTCACTAGCCCTCAATGGTGTGTGTGTTTGTACTCCCATGACACGGCGCGCGTGTTCAGAGGACAACTTGCAGGATGAGATGCAGGTCTTTCCTCCTGTGTGGGTTCCCAGGATGAAAGATCTTCAGGATTAGTGGGGAAAACCCTCACCCATCTCACTGGCCCTGATTTCTGTTTTAATTTTTAGAAATCTTTGTGTGTGTGGGTGTGTGCAGTCAGGCTGTGTCACCGCGAGCGTGTGGAGGTCAGTCCTTGCCTTCCATCTCATTTGAGGCAGTCAGTGTGTGTTGCTCACTGCTGTGTAGGTCCGACGGGCTGGCCCGAGAGCTCCTGGGGATCCGCCTGTCTCCACCCCCCCAGCTCATCATAGCCCCGCCATGCTACTGATGCTGTGTCTGTTTGCATGGTGCTCAAGCCTGCACTGTCAGCATTTTGCGAACCGGGCTGTCTCCCAGGCTCCCTCTATGCGGGCTCTTAAAGGTGCGTTTCCGACTTTCTCCTTGGCCTGGGACCTTCTTTTGTTTGTTTGTTTGTTTGTTTTTGTTTTTTTTTTTGTTTTTTGTTTTTTCGAGACAGGGTTTCTCTGTGGCTTTGGAGGCTGTCCTGGAACTAGCTCTTGTAGACCAGGCTGGCCTCGAACTCACAGAGATCCGCCTCCCAAGTGCTGGGATTAAAGGCATGCGCCACCAACGCCCGGCTGGCCTGGGACCTTCTTAATGCTTGTGTTGATGGGAGAGAGAACATCGCACCTATTGAGAGAGAGAGACACTGGAGAGGACAAGTTATGCTAAGAAACGAGGGCCATGGATGCTTCTTCATGAGAGTCTGCTGACCACACTGTAGAATTGCAATTCGTTCATTCATTTTCATTTTCTGTGCATTGGTGTTTGCCTGCATGCATGTCTGTGTGAGGGCGTCAGATCTTGGAGTTACAGAAAGTTGTTAGATGCCACATGGGTGCTGGGAATTGAACCCGGCTCCTGGAAGAACAGTCAGTGCTCTTAACCACGGAACCATCTCTCTGGCCCTGAGAGAACTGCAATTCTTGTTAAATCACCGAATGAAGGAAGAAAGAATTAATGAGAACCAAGATCCCATTGCTCAGCCAGTCTCTTCACCCAGACTTGCCTCTAGAACTGTCACTCAAGCCTGTGTTTCCCTGGAAACCTTGTCTCCTAGTAACTTCAAAGTGGTATGGTTGCCTGGAAACCCAGGAACAGGGCAGAACTGTGATTTCCTGGGTTTACTCTTTCCTTCTGGGGACAGAAAACAGCTCCACAACATCCCCCAGTACACCCACACACACAGCTGGGCACCCCTACACCCTGCACGCGCGCACACACACACCCACACACACCATGGCACTTTGCATATATTTCCTTTTCAGACTTTCATTACCCGCCCCCAAATACACACTCACAGCTCAACTGTCACATAAAGAATCCCATACAGTATCCCCATTTTCATACTGTATTCTTACACGAGCGCGCGCACACGCGTGCACACACACGCGAACACACTGAGGTGGCGATGTGATTGGCATTCTGTACACAAACATGCACACGTCCTTGGCACACTGTTAACGCTGCTCTGTAAAGTATGCTGCTTCAGCCTCCCACCCCCATCCCAGAGTCACAGCCCAACACTAGAAAGCATAAAGGGCACAGCCCCAGGTCACAGGAGCACGCGGAGCACAGGCCCTTCTTGCTCCTTGCCCGGAAGAGTTGTTTCAAAGAGCTCTCTCTAGCTCTGTTTTTGCTTGTTTGGTTGGTTTCGTCTTTTTTTCTTCCTTTCTTGCCTTCAGCACTGGGGATTGAACATAGAGCCCCACACCTGCTAAGGCTAAGTAACCATTTTAACCCTGATCTACATACAGACCTGGCCCTCTTTTTTCCCCCTCACTTAAAATGTTTTATTTATTTATTTTTTATGCCTATAAGTGTTTGCCTGCATTTATTATGCATACCATATGAGTGTGGTGCCCTCAGAAGTCAGAAGAGGGTACCAGAACCCCAGGGACTGGGGCTACCATGTGAGTTCTGAGAACTACACCCAGCTCCTCTGCAAGACCAGTATTCGCTGTTAATTACTGAGCTACGTCTCCAGTCTTCCCTCACATTCTATTGTATTTATCTTTTATTTTTATTTTTTTGAGGCAAAGTTTCTCTGTAATAGCCCTGGCTGTCCTGAAACCAGGCTGGCCTTGAACTCACAGTGATCCGCCTGCCTCTGCCTCCTGAGTGCTGGGATTAAAGGCGTGTGCCACCAACGCCTGGCGAGACACTCAACTTCTTACATTGCCTAGGCTGGTCTTGAACTTACTGAAGCAAGCCTTGAACTCATGAGCCTTCTGTCTCAGTACCTTAAGTACTGGGGTTATGGGCTGCAGCACTAGGCCCGGCTGCCACTTGGGGTGTGTGTGCGTGTGCGCATGCGTGTGTGTGTGTGTGTGTGTGCGCGTGCGTGTGGTCTGCATGCATGTTTGTACAGCACATATGTTTAGTGTTCATGCAAGCCAAAAAAGGGGCATCAGATCCCCTAGAATTGGAGTTACAGATGGCTGTGAGCCACCATGCGAGTGCTGGAAATCAAACCTGGGTCCTCTGGAAGAGCAACAAGCATTCTTCATTTCTGAGGGGACAGCTCCCCAGGTCCTTAAATTCTTCTTTTTTAAAGATTTGTTCATCTATATTTCATGTATATGGCTGTTTTTCCTGCATGTATGTCTGTGCATGCATGTATGCCTGGTACCTGCAGAAGTCAAAAGAGTTTGATTCCCTGGAAGTGGAATTAAGACAGTTGTGAGCAACCGGGCGTTGGTGGCGCACGCCTTCAATCCCAGCACTCGGGAGGCAGAGGCAGGTGGATCTCTGTGAGTTCGAGGCCAGCCTGGTCTACAAAGTGAGTTCCAGGACAGCCTCCAAAGCCACAGAGAAACCCTGTCTCGAAAAACAAACAAACAAACAAAAATGCTGGCGATGGCTCAGGGATCAAAAGCAATTGCTGCTTTTGCAGAGAACCCAGGTTTCATTCCAGTACCCACAGAGAAGCTCACAGCTGTCTTTTTTTTTTTCCGAGACAGGATTTCTCTGTATTATCTTGGAAGCTGTCCTGGAACTCACTTTGTAGACCAGGTTGGCCTCAAAATCACAGAGATCCGCCTGCCTCTGCCTCCCGAGTGCTGGGATTAAAGGCATGCGCCACCAACGCCCGGCCACATCGCCAGCATCTTTATTTACTCATTTTTGTGTGTGCCTAAGTGTGGCTGCGGGTGCTGCCGTGGTGCACAAGTGGGAACAGAGGATGACCTGTGGGAGTGGACGTCAGTGCGCTCCTTCCAGTGTGGGAGCCGCGAGGTTTGAACCCACATTCTCATGCGTGGTGACAGGCTTCTCTGTCTACCCCACTCGTTTCATTAGCTTGTCTCTGGCTGAACATCACCTGCCTGGAGAGGCTTTGCTTGAGCAGGTGTCCAAACCTAGTCCACCCCCTTCATTCTTTAAAAGATTTATTTCTCTTAAAAATTTAAGTGTAGCCCGGTGGTGGCGCACACCTTTAATCCCAGCACTCGGGAGGCAGAGGCAGGAGGATCTCTGTGAGTTCAAGGCCACCTGGTCTATAGAGCAAGTTCTAGGACAGCCAAGGCTGCACAAAGAATCCCTGTCTGGAATAAACAAATAAGTGTGTGTGTGTGTGTGTGTGTGTGTGTGTGTGTGTGTGTGTGTGTGGAGTTTTGCCTACATGTATGCAATCAATGTGTGTGCCTGGTGCCCCAAAAAGCCAGAAGAGGGCATCAAATCCCCAAAATGGACTTGCAGATGGTTGTGAGCTGCTATATAGGTGCTGGGGATCAAATCCATTACTTCTGGAAAAGCAGCCTCTCCATTGCTTTTAAAACTTTTCATCATCATCATCATCATCTGTGTGTGTGTGTGTGTGTGTGTGTGTGTGTGTGTGTCTGTGTGGGCATGCGCGAGCGTGTGCCCATGTGCACACATAATTGGGGCGCAATCCCATGGCAAGCATGTGGAGGTCAGGGAACAACCTTATCTATCTGCTTCTCTAGTTCCACCTTTACCTAGGTTCTGGAGATGAAACTCGGGTTAACAGGTTTTGCGAAAACCAAACACCTGTAGCTGCTGAGCCATGCCACCTGCCCAGCTTTGTCTTCTTGTCTCAGGCAGCCCAGGCTGGACCCCAACTCGCTGTATTGCTGAAAACCACGTTGAGTTTCGAATCTTACTGCTTTCATCTCCTAGGCATGTGGGTTAGCAGCACATATCATCATGCCTGGCCACAAAGATTTTTATACACTGGGGATGGAACACAGCCTCTCACACTAGGCAAGTGATCTACCACTGAGCTTAATTTCCAGCCCTGGATAGCTTTGGAAAAGCTTAATCTATAGCTTCTACCTGAAGTTATCCATTCGTGATGTATGTCTGAATAAGAGAATGCGGCCACCCTCCTCAGAGGCCAGCCCGTTCCCTCCTTTAAGGCCTTTCATTGTCCTCCCTCCAAGCCAGCACCAAGGACAAGGTCAGTCGGGCGCTGTCCGCGGTCCTGAAACGGCTCCCTCCCTGACAGGCCAGGGAGTTTCAAGGCCGCAGGTCCCACAGATGATGTCTGCGAGTTTTGCAAGCAGCCCTAGTCAGTCAAGATAGAGGCTCTACGATTAAGTGAGCCTTATCATGGCTGATCTCCTGGTGCAGCCCCTCTGCCTCCTAGACTGTCTCCTCCTTCTGTTTGCTATTCATTCACTGAGTCCCTGAGTCCCAGCCACACAGGCATCCTTGTTTTGTTTTGTTGTTTGTTTGTTTTTTACTGGAGATGTCAGGCATAGGCTAGGACATTTGTATTTGCTGTCTTGTTTACCTGGGATTATTATTATTATTCTTTTTCTGGTTACGGGTTTCTCTGTATTGTTTTGGAGGCTGTCGGTCCAGTTACCTGGGATTATTACTGCCACACATCCACACACACTCTCCAGATGTTCACATGACTTACTGTCACACATGCACACACACACACTCCAGATGTTCACCTGACTCTTACTGCCACACATCCACACTCTCCAGATGTTCACATGACTTACTGCCACACATCCACACACTCTCCCGATGTTCACATGACTTACTGTCACACATCCACACACACACTCCAGATGTTCACATGACTTACTGTCACACATCCACACACACACACTCTCCCGATGTTCACGTGACTTCCTGTCACACATCCACACACACTCCAGATGTTCATGTGACTTACTGCCACACATCCACACACTCTCCAGATGTTCACGTGACTCTTACTGCCACACATCCACACACACACTCCAGATGTTCATGTGACTTACTGCCACACATCCACACACACTCCAGATGTTCACGTGACTTACTGTCACACATCCACACACTCCAGATGTTCACATGACTTACTGCCACACATCCACACACTCTCCAGATGTTCACATGACTTTCTGTCACACATCCACACACACACTCTCCAGATGTTCACGTGACTTACTATCACACATCCACACACACACTCTCCCGATGTTCACATGACTTACTGTCACACATACACACACACTCTCCAGATGTTCACGTGACTTATTGTCACACATCCACACACACTCCAGATGTTCACATGGCTCTTACTGCCACACATCCACACACACACACTCTCCAGATGTTCACGTGACTCTTACTGCCACACATCCACACACACTCCAGATGTTCATGTGACTTACTGCCACACATCCACACACACTCCCGATGTTCACGTGACTTATTGTCACACATCCACACTCTCCAGATGTTCACATGACTTACTGCCACACATCCAGACACACACTCTCCAGATGTTCGCATGGCTCTTACTGTCACACATCCACACACACACTCTCCAGATGTTCACGTGACTCTTACTGCCACACATCCACACACATGCTCTAGATGTTCACATGGCTCTTACTGTCACACACACACACACACACACACACACACACGCACCATGTGAGTGTGGGTGCTCTCAGAGGCAGAAGGCAGCATCAGACCCATTTTGAGCCACACTAAAAGAGTGATGGAAACAGAACTTCACTCAGTCATATCTCCAGGTTCTCTTTTGCAAATTATAATAATATAACAGTTGTTATTGTTATTTGAGAGAGAGGCACAGAGAAGATGTGCCACGGTGCGTGGGAAGCTCTCCACAGTGTGTCTCTCCTCCCACCGTGGGGTCTAGGGATGGAACTCAGGTTGTCAGGCTACAAGAAAAGTGTTTCCACTCCTGAGCTATCTCACTGGTTCTCACACCACAATGCTCACATCGACTTCCCTGACTTGAGTTTTCTATTGATCAAATATCAATAGCTAACATCCCAGAGATCTAAAGTCCAGGTATTGGGGTACACGTGCAATCCCAGCTCTTTGGAAGCTGAGGGAGGTTGGTCATGGGCTGCACAATGACACCCAGAAATCTCAAGCCCTTACTTAAATCCTTGAGCCTAGAGTTTGGAATCCATAGGGTTTCAGATTTGAGGCTTTTGGGATGTGTGTGACAGGGTCTCAGGTAACCCAAACTGACCTCCAACTTGCTGTGTAGCCAAAGATGACCTTGAACTCCAGATTCCCTGCCTGCACCTCCCCAGTGTCTATCTGTGATGGGCTGGGGGTGGGCACCAGCTAGGCAAGCACTCTGCCCCACGCTCCTAGCCTTGACCCAGGACTGTGACCCATGTCCCTGGCCCCATGGCCACACGTCTCTCCACATTTGTCCTTAGATACACTGTGAGAGCTTCACAGCCATCGAGATCCAGTGTTACTGTCTCCCCCACCTCCCCGTACTCGGGGGAGGCAGGCAACAGGCCAAACTTCTGTTACAAACAGGTCTTTATTAAAGATGAGGAGGGGGCAGGGAAGGGGATCAGTGTCTCATCTGCCCACTGCCTTTGGCTATTCGGGTAGGGGAACCCCCTTCTGCTTCACCCATGCCCCCCAAGATGGCAATCTGCATGAGGCTGAGGCAAAGGGGGCAGTGTGAAGAAGGGTGGGTCCCAAGAAGATATTTTTCCACAGCCCTAATAAGTAATAGAAGGGTTGGGGGTGCCCTGGGCACAGCCAAGGGGAGACAGCACCCGGAACTCCAAAACCTGCGAGCTGGGGCAAGCCCTACTTAAGTCGGGAGCTGGAGGGTATGAGATGGTGCACCTGGGGGGAGGAGCTAGAAAGATGGGGTGCTGCAGGACCCTGCCATGGGGGAGCCTGCCCCCACCCTCCAGCTGGACTCCGTGATTCTAGGGAGAGTCTGGATAGCCCTTCTTGGCTTTGACTTGGCTTTGACACGGGCGGTCCCCCATTGACTGGAATCATTCCCACCCACTCTCAGCAATTCTGAAAGCCAAGGGCTCCTATTGGCGGTTTAGACACTGAACACTGGCCGGAATTGCCCTCTTGCTTGAGGAATCTAAGAAGTGAGAGGTTCCCATCGGCTGGAGTAAACTTTTAGATTAAATTCTGAGAACTAGGAGCTCTCACTGGCGTGACAATGACCAGTTGGGTCAAGCATCAGCCGTTAAAAGGGCAGTCTTAGGGACACGGGCCCACCTGCTTATTTTTGCCTACCCGGATGTTTAAGAAGGCCAAAAAAAGAGCAGCCAGGAGATCCTTCCCGCCCCCAGAAGTGTTCTTCCAGCCACCTTCTGACGCCGAGCCTGGCTGTTTTGGAGGGCAGGGTCCTTTAGCACTCACGTGGCACACGCACGCGTGGCAGGGAAGAAACAGGGGACACTGGGTAAATTTTAGGTGTGGGTCTCACAGCAGGTGGTCGCGGCTGGCAAACAGATAAGGGCTGAAGTTGTCGCGGTGGAAGGGGGAGGGATGGAGTCCACTGAGGGTGTACAGGTCCCGTAGCAGGGGCGTGGGCAGCAGCAGCTTCCGGCCGCGACCCCCTCCCCCACCGGGACCCCCGGGTCCAGGGGAGGAAGGCGAGGGACCCTGGCTGGGAGTCGGTGCGGGCAGGGGCAGAGGCAGCGGCAGGGGCGTTGGCTCAGACCTCAGGCGAGGGCGGGGCACACGGGGCGAGGAGCACATCGCTGGGGTCCTGGAGGACACACAGCTGGGAATCAGGTGGCCACGGCGGGCACAGTTCTGCGGCTCTAGAGATGACATTCGGAGACGAAGAGGTTAGCGAGACTGGAGGAGTGAGTGCACTGCACAGAAGCCCAGGCGAGACCGAGCACAGCCGGGAGAGCCCGCTCCTCCCCCCACGTCCTAACGCTTACTGGATGGGGTGAGCCGTGCCGGTGTCGAATGCGGCCTGCAGGTCTCGGCTTCCTGAGTTAAAAAAAAAAGAAGAGGGAAGGGGCTAGAGGATCCCAGGACCCCGCAACTCACAGTCAAAAAGGGTTCATCAACCAGACGCCCCATGGAAAACGCATCAGAGACCTCCGAACGAACTATGTAACTTTGGGAGTGAAAGGCGGGCTTTCTTCCTAGGACTTCACACCCAGAGTTGGATGGCCCCCCTCTCCCCCAGACAAGGGCCCTCGCCGCCTGATCTCCTACCTCCCTGGGCCTGCCTGCTCCACCCACCACCAGCCCGGAGCAGCTCCCGGGCCCCCTTACCTGGGCCACACTTAACTTTTCGAGGGGGCTGTCCATAGTGGGGGCCTGGCTCAGGTCCTCCCAGGGGGAGAGCCTTCGACCAGAGGGGGGGCGACTCTGGAAATTGTGTACAACACAGGTGACCTATGCCAGAGAGATAGGAGTGTGTTGAGGCCTGAGCCCAACAACACAAGAATTATGAGAATACCCTCTCCATTTTTCCAATAGAAACTGAGGCTAGGATTTCCAAACGCATAAAATCTTTCTTTACTATTTTTCTTTTTCCTCATTGGTTGATTTTTTTTTTCAGAAAGGATCTCTCTATGGCTGTCTTAGAACTCTGTGTAGACCCAGCTGGACGTGAGCTCAACAGAGATCCACCTGCATCTCCTCCCAAGCGCTGGCACCAGGAGTGAACTACCATACCTGGCTGCTTTTACATGCTTGATATTTGGTATATTGCAATTATTTGGCATGAATATTGTTTTTTTAATTTTTGTGATTTATTTTTACATTCTGTCTATGAGTGTTTTGCCTCTATAGACATACACCTGCATGCTTGGTGTCCATGGAACTCAGAAGAGGGCATTGGATTCCATAGAACTGGAGTTACAGATGGTTGTGGGTGCTGGGAACTGAACCCAGGTACTCTGCAAAAGGGCCAGTGCTCTTACATTCTGAGACATCTTTGTATCCCTGAATATAGATATTTCAATGTTTCAAAAATACTATCACTTTTACTATAACTACTCACTTTGTGGGGATTACTTACAACACACTGCATTCATGGAAGGCCAAAGGAAAACTTTCAGGAGTTAGTTAGGTCTTTTCACCCGGTGAGACCCAGGATGGAATTTACGCCAAGGCAATTACACAATTGCCTTTACCCAATGAGCTTTCTTCTCACTAGCCTTTCCCCAAATGTCCGAGGAAGGGCTGGCTCACTCCGTATAATGCTTGCCTCGGATGCATGGGTTTCACCCCAACACCGCAAAAAAGCAGGCCATTAGTGGGCATGTCTGGAATCCCAGCACTAGGAAGATGAGGCAGGAGGATCAGAAGTACAAGGTTATGTTTGGCTAGATAGTCACATGAGAGCCTGTCTAAAAAAAAGTCCTGCTGGGAGTGGTGGCCTACTTTAGTCCCAGCACTTGGGTGGCAGAGATAGTCAGATCTCTGTGAGTTCAAGGCCAGCTGGTCTACAAGGTGCATTCCAAGCCAGCCAGGGTTGCATAGTAAGACCCTCTCTAAAAAATAAAAGAAAAAAAGAGGTTTCATTAGTTTACTAACTAGCCCTGGCTGGGCCTGGAACTCACAATGCAGACTAAGCCTGCCTCAAACTCAAGAAACGTGTCTGCTTTTGCCACCCAAGTGCTGGGGTTAGAGGGATGAGACACCATGTCTGGCCAAAATTTTTGGTTTTTCGAGACAGGGTTTCTCTGTATTGTTTTGCAGGCTGTCCTGGAACTCACTCTGTAGACCAGGCTGGCCTCGAACTCACAGAGGTCCGCCTGCCTCTGCCTCCCGAGTGCTGGGCCACCTTGCTTCTTGAGACAGAGCCTCTCAAGGCCTGGAGCTCCCAGATTAGGCTAGACAGGCTGGCCAGTGAGCCCCAAGAATCCTCCTGCCTCTGCCCGCCTGGCGCTGGATGGCAAACACACCACTTCTGGATTTTACATGGGAGCCAGAGATCTGATCTCAAATCCGTATGTTTGCAAGACAAGCACTTTACCAACTGAGCCATGTTTCCCCCGTAAAATAGTATTTATTTCCGTTGCAGAGTGTTGTGGCATCCCTTAAATTTTGCTTACCACACAGCATGACCCTGTCAACCCATTTCACAGATGAGAACAAGCAAGCAGTCAGTGTGAAAGTAAAGGGTAACTGCCCTCCCCAGGTCAAGCAGAATCTATAAACCCTTTAGCATCTCTGAGCAATTCTGTCTCTTGGGTCAAGGGCCTAATGTGAAGTCTTCCATATAGAGACGGGTGGGAGGGAAACTCACCAGAAAGGTGGCGATGGCCGCCCCGGTCAGAAAGCCAGCCAGCACGTCCGACCAGTGATTGCGATACTCTGCCACGCGGACCACGCCCACCAGGAAGGCGGGGCACAGCAGGGCCAGGCAGAGAGAAGGCTTTACCAGGCGGGAGCCCTTCACGCGGAACACTAGGGTCACGTACATCTGTGGGACCCGAACTGGTCAGAGGATGAACCCACGCCTTTCGGGTCAGAGTAATGGAGGCTTGAGGGAGGCCAGGGGCCTCCAGGAATGGGGCAGTGGATCCCAAGCGGGGCTCCATAGGGGTGGAGATGTGACCACACAAGAATGGAGAGCCGGGTTCCCGGGATTGAGATGGCAGGGGAGGGACTCCACGGGTCGCAGGGGTTCTGCATGCAGGTGGTGTGGCCAGAGCGCCGAAAAGGACAGGTGAGGGTCTACGGAACAGGCTTCCCTGTGATAGGGAAAGAAGCTCACTGCATTAAAGCATGCGCACAGAACCAAGGAGTAGAATCAGGGCCTAAGGGGCGGGTCTGGGAGCTCCAGAGGTAACCTTGGAGCCTCGTGGGCCACAGAAGTGGTCAGGAAGGAATATCAGTCATTCCCGAGGTCAGAAAAAGGAAAGAAGTCAAAGCAACAGAACGTGGGAATAGAGAAAGGCAACCGACAGAATTAGGGGCATCACCAAAGCAACAAAGGGGAGGGGCGAGGACTCCAGGAGGCGGAGTCAAAGCCCATAAATTTAGGTTCCTAGCCACCATCCCCGGCCTGCAGCCTCTTAGCAACTCCAAGGGGCAGAGTCCCAAAAGGCAGAGTCCAGGACAACTGGACAGTAGTGAGAGCTGGGATGCACTACGAGGGGGTGTGGCCTCATGAAGACCCCAGTTGAGTGGGCGTGGCCTCTTCCCAGAGCTCCTCCCCTCCCAGCAAGCTCCCGTCCAATTTCCAGAGCCCTGGCATCTCCCCCAGGGCCTCACCGCAGTGTAGGTGACCGCGTAGGCGCACAGGGCCGCGTCCTTGCAGGGGAAGGCGCGGCGTGCAGCAGCCACCAGGCTGGGGCTGCCTGCACAGGCGCTCTGGTCCGTGACGAAGCGGTCAGGCCCTGGCCGGTCAGGAGACGGAGGTGGGCAGCCCAGGGCCGTGTAGTTGGGGCGACAGACAGACAGGAAATGAGGCGTGGGGTTGCCGGTCACCACCTGTCCCGCATTTGCAAAGATGGTCGTGGTGAATAGGCCAAAAGAGTACACTCCTGGCGATGGGGAGAAAAGAGGTCATGTCCCTTAAAATGGGTGACACACACAGTTCCACTAAGCCCCTCGTCTAGGTCTAAAATTAATTTTTAGGCCAGGCAGTGGTGGCGCCCACCTTTGACCCCAGCACTCCAGAGGCAGAGACAGGTGGATCTCTTGAGTTCGAGACAGGCCTGGTCTACAAAGTGAGTTCCAGGGCTACACACAGTAATCATCTCTTGAAAAAAAATAAGAGATTTCTTTTTCTTTTCTTTTTCTTTTTCACATTTACTTATTCGGGTTTTCTCTACTTGTGTAGACAGTTATGCTGTGTGTGGAGGTCAGAGGACAGCCTGAGGCATTTGGTTCTCCTACCACATAGGTTCTGGAACTCACGTTTGGCAGCAAGATCCTTTGCCCTCTGGCGATCCATGCTCTCAATTGTCTTGCTATTCTTAGGATGGCCACTGAAGTCAATCTGGGACCCTATGATAACAGGACTGAAGTCCCTTAACCTTTGGTGCCACCATGGGTCCCTCACTGTAGTGTCTATCTGTAGTCTGTCCCTAAGAGATAAACTGTGTCTCAAGGGCAAGCCCTCCCTGACTCCATCACAACCATCCGGGGACTCCTCAACACCATGGCATCAGGAGTTTGCGATCTCCTAGGAAGACCCCATTTAAGTTTCTGGGATTCCTCCTCTCTTTTCTCTTCTCTTCCTCTTATATTTGTTAAGAATTACATGGGGGGGGCCGGGCGTTGGTGGCGCACGCCTTTAATCCCAGCACTCGGGAGGCAGAGGCAGGCGGATCTCTGTGAGTTCGAGACCAGCCTGGACTACCAAGTGAGTTCCAGGACAGCCTCCAAAGCCACAGAGAAACCCTGTCTCAAAAAAAAAAAAAAAAAGAATTACATGGGGGGGGTTGGAGAGATGGCTCAGTGGTTAAGAGCACTGGCTGCTCTTCCAGAGGACTCAGGTTCAGTTCCCAGCACCCACATGGCTGCTCACAACTGCCTGTAAATCCAGTTCCAGGGGTCTAACACCCTCATAGACATCCATGCAGGCAAAAATAAATAAATAAATAAATAAATAAATCCTTTAAAAATTTAAATGTTAGCTGGGAGGTGGTGGCACACGCCTTTAATCCCAGCACTCGGGAGGCAGAGGCAGAGGCAGTCAGATCTCTGAGTTCGAGGCCAGCCTGGTCTACAGAGCGAGTTCCAGAACAACCTCCAAAGTAGTACAGAGAAACCCTATCTCGAAAAACCAAAACACAACTTTTTTAAATGCTACCTACATTGGTTTTTTTGTATGCTTTTGTGCATGGAGGTCAGAGGACAGCTTGTGACAGACATATATATATATGTCTGTCCTTCTAGTATATAGGTCCTAGGGATTGAACCCAAGTTGTCAGGCTTGGCAGCAGACAGAAAGAGCTTTTACCCATGAATCCTCTGACCAGCATGCCCCCCTTCCCCCTTCGCACCCCAGGCAGAGTCTAGCTCTGTAACCCTGACTGGTCTTAAGCTTGATATATAGACCAGGCTGGCTGGGAACTGTCAGTCTAGCCTGAACTTTTTATTTATTACTTTTATTTTTGTGTATGTATGTGTGCCTTCATGAGTGTATGTGTACCACATGGATGCAGGTACCCGTGGAGGCCAGAGAGTGTCATATCCCCTGGAACTAGAGTCACAGGCAGCTGTGGGCTGCCTGATGTGGGTGCTGGGACCAACCCTGGTCCTCTGCAAGAGCAACAAGCACTGTCAACCACCGAGCCATCTCCCCAGACCCTGACCAGAACTTTTGAGATTTCAGATTATAGGAATATATGCCAACCCACAGCGAGTTTGCTTTTTTTTTTTTAAGACAGTGACTCACTTTGTAACCCAGGATAGCTCCCAGAATTGAGATCTTCCTAGCATAGCCTCCCAAGTCCTAGGGTTTCACTGTGACCAGCATACAGGCTTGCATTCTTCATGTGAGCAAGTGTATATGCTTGTTGTGTGGGTCAAAGGACAGTTCAGGTGACAATCCCCTGACACCTTCACATTTGGAGACAGAGATTTTCACAGACTTAAAACTTTGCCAAATAGGCCAGAATGGGTGACCCAAAGCTTCCAGGGCTCCGCTTGTCTCCATCTCCCATCTTACCGTCTCTGGGACAACAAATGTGTGCCACCCCTGGCTCCTAAAAGATTTTCTTGAGCTGGAGAGATGGTTTAGTAATTAAGAGCACAGGCTGCTCTTCCAGAGGACGGGGTTCCATTCCTAGCCCCAACATAGCAGCTCCCAACTGTCTGCAACTCCAGTTCCAGGGAATCCAACACCCTCACACAGACATATATGCAGGCAAAACACATATATATATATATAAAATAGTAAGTTATAAAAAAATAAGCAGGGTGGTGGTGGCACACACCTTTAATGCCAGCACTCAGGAGGCAAAGGCAGACAGATCTCTATGAATTTGAGGTCAACCTGGCCTACAAAGTAAGTTCCAGGACAGTCAGGGCTGCACAAAGAAACCCTGCCTCAATTTTAAACATATATACATATATATATGATTTTTATTCATGTATGTGTATGCATGTATGTGTGTGTGCATTCATGTACCTATGTGTATGTGCGTGCATGTCTGTGTCTATGTATAATGTATGTCTATATATGTATGCCTGTATCTATGTGTGGGTACATGCATGTATGTGTGTGTGTGTTTATGTGAATGAATCTATTTATGTGTGCATGCTTGTATGTGTGTCTGTGTGAACACCTGCATTTATGTATGAGTTTGCATGTGTGTGCATGCATGTGTGTGCCACATCTTGAGTCAGAGGACAACTCAGGAATCGCTTCTCTCCTTTGACCACGTGGGTCTGGATAATCAGTCAAGCTTGGTGACAAGTGCCTGTACCCACTGAGCCATCAGGTGAGATTGTCCCTTTGTTCCTGAAATCACCTCCCTCCCCAAGGCCATTGGACTAACCCCAGGCTGCATCTCTCACCCAGGAAACGGACTAGCCTCCGAAGAGGGGGGCTGAAGCGGCAGCAGGCCCCGGACACAATGGTGCTCTCCCCACTGACAGGGCTGGCAGAGGGTGGCGCAGGGAAGAAGGCACGTGCCAGCTCCCCCAGGAGGATCTGTGGACGAGACTGAGATGGGGTCTCCTGGCCTTCAAGACCAGGGAGTCCCCAGCCCCCACCTGTCCTTCCTGCCTTCCGGGAGTTTCCACTTCCTGGCATCCATCCACCCTGGGTGACCCACACCATCTCACCGTGAAGGTGGGCCCAGCAGTGACCAGGGCATAGATGAGGGCCGGAGGTGCTCGGCTGGCAGCCTCAGGCCCGGGGTACGGCTTGGCATAAGTGCTGTCATAGCAGAAGAAGCCCTGGGTGTGCACAGGGAAGGTGTCCGTGAACTCCAGGCGGTATGCCAGCAGGATCACAATGCCCAGCAACACAGACTGCAGCCGGTCAGGGCCAGAGAGAGGCAAAGCAGGAGGTCAGACATGAGGCCATGGAGAGAGACAGAGGGAAATAGAGACAAAAGGAGAGGAGGGGAGGAGGGGAGGGAGGAGGGAGGAGGGGAGGAGGGAAGAGGGGAGGAGGGAGAAGGGGAGGAGGGAAGTAATATATTTTTACCTTCCCAACAACTGTAGCTATGATTCCATTTTCTTTTTTCTGGTGCATTTTTGTTTTGTCTTGTGGGTTTGTTGTTGTTGTTTTGTTTGTTTGTTTTGTTTTTTGAGGCAAGGTCTCATGTAATCTAGGATGGCTTAGAACTCACTATCTTCCACCTCCCTAGTAATGGGGTTATAGTTGTATATACTGGTGGGCCAGTACACCTTATTTATCCAGGGTTGGGGATGGAGCCCAGGGCTCTGTGTAGGCAAGGCAAGTCTCTACCAACTGAGCTACATCCTCAACCCATTTTTAATTTACTTACTATTTTCTAGATGGTCTCATTATGTATCTCAAGCTGGCATGGAAATCATAAACTTTTGTTGTTGTTGTTTTCAGGCAGGGTCTTACTATGTAGCTCTGGTGTCCTGGAACTCACTCTGTGGGCCAGGTTGGACTGGAACTCACAGAGATCCATCTGCCTCTGCCTCCTGAGTGCTGGGATTAAAGGTGTGCCACCACATTGAGCTTGCTTACTTTGAGATGGGATCTCATTTCATAGATCTGGCTGGCCTGGAACTTCACATCTATGGAATAGCCTTGAATTTGTAGGCATTCTCCTGCCTCTGCCTCCTGAATGTTAGGATTACAAGTATGCATACAGTGACTGCACCTTGCAATTTCTTTTCTCTTTCTGTTTTTATTTTTTTTATTTTTTGAGACAGAATCCCATGTAGCCCAGGCTGGCCTTGACTTCCCTGAAATCCTTCTCCTTCAGCCTGCCAATGTTGAGGTGCATGTGCCACATATATGCCACCATGCCCTTTTAATTATGCCCATTTGAGAGATGAAGAAACTGAGGCTGAGGCTAAAGTGTGACTGGATTAGGGCAGAATGGCGATAAATCCCAGGGAGAAAGGCTTCTGATCCCAACCCTGTCACAGCATCTCAAGAGAAAGGGAGAACAGCCAAAGTCCCAGGGTACCGGTGTGAGAGGGCACAGCGGGGGAGATGGTTGGACTGGACTGGAGTCAGGGATTTGGGAGACAGCTGGGCAAGGATAAAGGGACTGGACAGGAATCGGGTACCCTTTCCCAGAGTGGCTCTGAGGTCCTCACCTCCACGAAGACAAAGCAGGGGATGATGGAGAAACTGCGCTTCAGGTGAGGTCTCCCTCCAGCCATGGTGAAGGCTGGGCCTGTGGGGGGAGGGAGTGGAACTCCGGGGCCACGAGTGCATGAGGCCTCCAGGAGTTCTGAGTATGCTCTTTAATCCGGTTCCCGCCCCGCCCCCGCCCCGCCCCGCCCCGCCCACTGGAATCCCTGCCTCTTCTAACACCAGGCTTTTAACTTCTACCAGAGACCTAAGACTGTTTCTTAGGCTACAGTTACGATTGTGTGTGTGTACACATGTGCCGCTTCCTTTGTGTGGGGGTCAGAGGGCAGCCTGAAGGAGTCGGTTCTTTCCTGTGACCCAAAAGATCCTATAGTTGTCTCTTCTCTTAGCTTTCTATAGAATTCTAAGCAGACCCCATACCTTTTAGGGGGACCCCTAACCAGTCTGCAGTGGAGACGCCTCTGGCTCTGGAGAAGGGAGCCCTTTTCTTTAACACACTTTAGGGAACTTCACAGTCTTTTCCCTGGAGATCCCATGCTTCCCGCCCTCTCACTCCCACTAGGGTCTTTTTCCTATTCCCTTCCGCCATGGCCTCCACATGCCGGCCCCCACCCCACCCCCATGGGCTATGGTATCTGGTACGGGCTGATAGCCAGACTCTCCCTCTCTCCCAGCTGCTTCTCCCTCCACCCCCCATCCTCTAAGCCCAGCTGCCTCCCCAGTCTCCTCTCACCAACCCCCACATACAACTTCAACCCGCAAGGCTCCAGTATAGAGTCAAGCCAGCTTATAACTCAACTTCAACCCGCAAGGCTCCAGTATAGAGTCAAGCCAGCTTATAACTCAGTAACACCAGCTCTCACCTGTGAAAGCACCCTAGGGCTTCCCGCAGGCTTCCACCTCGGCCACCACCAACTCACAGCTACTCCTGGAGGCTAGCAGGGCAAGGACACTCATCTCCATTGCACGGATGTGGAAACTGAGGCCCAGGCAGGCGAGGGTAGGCACTATGTGTCCAGGGCTCCATTGAGGCCTGCTTCACAGAGTGACATATTGGAGTGAGGGTCACCACAGGTTCCAGATTGAGAAAACCTGGTTTGCCCAGCATGAAACAGTCACCCCACAGTTTTCTCAGTCACACAAGTCCTCGGTACTCCTAAACACACACACACACACACACACACACACACACATACACACACACACACACACACACACGAGTTTGCATATGGCCTGTCATAGACACCCACATGGATGGAACATACCCCCTCAAATCCACAGTCAGAGAGACATCCCAGCCCCCTACAAGCCCTTACCACGATAGTCACCACCACAGACTCAAGGTTGCCAACACACGTAAGAGTCACTCCACACAATGAGAGTCACAGATGGGTCACAGAGTCACACCCCCAGTCACAAGGCACTCGTGGCAGTCATACACATGAACACTCTCTCCAGTCATAGAGACAGTGTGCCTGACATCCACAACCTCAGCCACATGGTCAGGCAGGTCAGGCAGGGATATGGGACATGGACCTGCAGTCACACACATACAAAAGGCACATAAGATCAGACACCTGCCAGATTGCAAAACAGCCACGCACACCATCAGAAGGGACATAACAGGGACCACAAAATGACAGCCAGATCACACAACTAGGCACCTAGACACACACACACACACACACACAAGCAGTCACACAGACACCCCAAGGAACCTAGTGCACTTGGTCTCTCTCTCTCCCTCCCTCCCTCCCTCCCTCCCTCCCTCCCTCCCTCCCTCCCTCTCTCTCTCTCTCTCTCTCTCTCTCTCTCTCTCTCTCTCACACACACACACACACACACACACACAATCAGCGGACACACCCGAATCCATCACAGTCAGAGAGCCACACAACCAGTTACACAACCACACACCAACACGGGGCAGACACACCATCATTCACACACAGCCACCCTCGCAGCAGTGTGACCTGGCTACAGAGGCCCCTGGGGGTCCCCTCGCCAGGTTCCCCTCCCCCAACCCCATCCAAAGCCCGAGATCTCCGCCTCCCCTCCCCCAGTTACCCTCCCCCCAAAATGGACCCGCAGGGAACATATCGGAAGGACCCACGTTCCGGGTCAGGACCTGCGTGCCCGGGTCGGGCAGCCTCCGGCTCGGGAAGAAGAGGCGCCCACGCTCCTCCCTCACCCTGTCTAGGCTGCCGCCGCCTGAGCCCCCGCTCCGTCTAGACGGTCCCGGCACCGCAGGACAGTCAGAGAGACCACTGGTCAGGCAGGCGGACGCGGAGATGGAGAAGTCTTGACAGCCGGGCTTGCAGCTCCGCGCAGACTCCGTAGTCGAGGCAGGGGCGGGACCACAGTGGGTCTTATTTGCATAATCCAGTGGGGCGGAGAAACGGAATATTATTTGCATAACCCAACAGGGCGGGCCCAAAGCGCCTAGTTAGCCAGATGGGCGGGACAATGGTTCCCTCATTTGCATAACAATATGGACCTGGAGTTGCTACTGTGTAGGGCGGAGCTATAGAACGCTTATTTGCATACCTCAATGAAGCAGGCAGAGAGATTGGAAGGGAAAAGAATGGAGATAGAGATGGGTGGGATTGGCTGAGGGAAGAGAAGAGCTCAGCCTCTTCAAAGGGCACCCTATGCCACGCCTCTCCCCATTTGGGCATCTAGATCCCGAAAGAAGACTGTATTTGGATAACGAGGTCCATTTTTGTGTTTGTTTGTGACAGGGTCTCATGCAGCTCAAACTGATTTCCAATTCTCTTTGTGGTCAAGGCTGGCCTTGAGCTTTGGATCCTCCTTGAGTGCTGAAATGTTAGGCCTGTTCCACCACATCTGGCTTGTATAGTTGGAACCCAAGGCTTCCTATATGCCAAGCAAGCGCTGTCCTGATTTTGTGTTTTTAAAACTTTTAAAATTACATTTATTTATTGGGGTGTGTGCCATGTTTTGTGTGCATTTAGAGATTGGAGGTCAACTTGCATAAGTAGGTTCTCTCCTGTCATTGTGAGGGTCCTTAGGATCAAACTCAGGTCTTCAGACTTGGTGGCAAGTGCCTTACCCATTGAGCTATTTGGCCGACTCACTTCTGTGTTTTTGAGACAGTCTCTTCTAGCCCAGGCTGGTCTCATACACGCTGTGATATCTTTGAATAGATAAGCCTACATCCATCTACCTTCCAAACACAGGATTACATGCCCTCACTGTCCTAACTAGACCCACACATCCATAAAAGGGCTCTAGTCTCTGCTCTTCTGAGACACCAAGGAGTTAGCTGGGGGTGGCATGGGGAGGACCCGGTATGCTTGAACCAGCAGATGCAAAAGTCCAGGATGGAGGAAGGTCTCAGCTAGTTTATTTTCTCTCTGGAGGGGTCTTCAGGGCAAGCAGTCCCAGCTGCTCAAGCTATGGGGAGAGAAGGTAGGTCATGGTCTGGCTTTAACCAGGAGAACTCAGGGTTGCCAGCCAAGGACCAGATGCTCGGACAGAGTGCCAGCCGCACGGCCTACACTGTGGGAATCACAGGGGGATGCTAAGGGATGGAGAGGGGCTGAGGAGGGTCTGTACCAGGAGGATAGGATCCACTCTTGCTGAAAGGTGTCTCCCAGTCAGAATCGGAGTCCCAGGAGGGGTACTGAGAACTCAGGCACCGGTGTCCCTTGTGGCCTGTGGGAAAGACATGCCATCTTGGCTCTTCAGACCCTGTACATGGCCCACTAACAACTTCAGAATATGGACGCTGTATTCCTTGAGATGAAACCACACCAAATAACAATTCATGACCCAGACACCCACATCCCTTGTATGACCCAAAATAATACCAAATTATATCAATGATCCTTGAAATGTTCCCTTAAAAAAGATCCCATAAGGGGCCAGAGAGATGTCTCAGTAGTTAAAAGTACTATTAGCTGCTCTTCCAGAGAAAACAGGTTCAATTCCCAGTACCTACTTGGTGGCTCACAACTCTCTGTAACTCTAGTTCCAGAGGATGGGATGCCTTCTTGTGGCCCCTGAGGGCACCAGGCACTCAGGCAGTGAATAAATATATTCAAGACACCCATACACATAAATAAAATAAAATACATCTTTTGTGGGGGGTTTTTTTGGTTGCTTGTTTGTTTTTTTGGTTTTTTTTTTTTTTTTTTTTGGTTTTTTTTGAGGCAGGGTTTCTCTGTGTAGCTTTGGAGTCTGTCCTGGAACTAGCTCTTGTAGACCAGGCTGGTCTCAAACTCACAGAGATCCGCCTGCCTTTGCCTCCCATGTGCTGCAATTAAATGTGTGCACCACCACCTGTTAATAAAATACATCTCTAAAAAATCCCATAGAGCTAGAAATTGTAGCATATATCTGTAATCTCTGGGAAGCTGAAAACAGGAGGATCAGGAGTTCAAGACCATCCTCAGCTACATAGTGAGTTTAAGTTAGTCTGGGCTACTGTGAGACCATATTTAAAAATACCAAGGGACTAAAAAAAATCTCACAGATCCTAAATGTGACCCCAATCAGGTTCTTCATGAAACAGGGTCTATGTAGCTCAGGTGGACCTTGAATTTCAGGTTCTTTTCTGGGATTACAGGCATGACCCTCAGAAGGCCTCCGCAGGGGATGGCCTCCCCACCACATCTCCGTTACTCTCAACCGCTCACCGCTGAGACTGGAGGCCCTGGGCTTGGTGCCCACAGACAAGGCAAGACAGTCGATGGAGCTCTGCAGGCTGTGCACAGCAGACCTGTGGGGAGACAGAGAGACAGGGGCCTCAAGAGACACTGGGGTATCCCGGGTACCCCAGATCAGAGCCAGGGCAAGGGAGGCTGCAGAGACGGTGATTCCTAGGAAAAGTAGGTAGGACTAGAACCAATCGTGTTCCAGAAGCAGTGGGGGGTAGAGGAGGGCCAGGGGTCAGAGGTCAGACTGGAGGCTGGCCTCACCATATGTCACTCAGCTCCTTCTGCAAGTCGTCCTTCCAGCAGCCACTGCCTTCCGCGGGCACCTCCTCACCTTCTGGCCACGAAGGAGGCTCATAAGCCTGCTGCTTCATCTTGGTCAGAACCTGAGGTTCGGGAGGGGGGTTGGGGGAGCAAGCAATTAGTTAGACACACGAGTAGTGATGGTGCAAGAGAAAGGTGATTATGATGTAGCACTTTTGTTGTTGGCTGTATTGAGAGCACGGAACGCTCAATGAACACAACTTTCTGATGGGGGAGTGGTCGCAGCTATTACACCTATTATATGGAGAGGCTAATTGAGGCCCGGAAAGAAAGTGATTTACCCATAGTAACAGCACTGGGATTTGAATTCTGCCTCCTAGAACCAGTCCAATGGTGGAAGCATGAGGAACCTCCCCTCTGCCCCAGGTCCCGCAGCCCTCATTTTCTCCGCTTACCTTTCGGCACTTCACCTGTGTTTTCTGCATCTTCTGGATATTCAAGAGGTTCTCTGAGATCTCATCCTCCTGGGCCTCTGTTGGGGAGAGAGCTCAGAGGACAGAGGAAATCGAGGAGCCCCACCCCTTCCAGGCCGCGGGCTTTCCGGCACTCACGGAGCTTCTGATAGATGAAAGTCACTTCTTCCCGCACCAGCTCCAGTTCCTCCCACAGGAACTTCTTGCTGAGGGGAGGAGAGAGGAGCCTAGACCCACATTGCCAGCCCATTGCCCAGGCCGCCCACGCCCCCATCTGCCCAGCCCACTTACAGCCACAGGCTCCTCCCCCCGCCCTAGCTCCTTCCAGGGCATCAGGCTCCACCCACACCCCTGAGGCTCGTCTACAGCCTCAGAAGCTGTCCACAGTCCGAGGCTCCACCCAGCCCAGGCTCCGCCCACAGCCCCAGGCTCCGCCCACAGCCCTGGGGTCCAAGCCCTCTCCTCCCAGTCTACTTCCTCCTTCCTACCTGGATCTTCCCAGCCTTGTTCTGTCCCGATTTCCACTCTCCAGCCTCTCCACCTCCCTCACTCTGCTGATGCCCCGCTTCCTTCCCCGACCCATCTCCAGTTTGCAGTCTCCCTCCCTTAGACTCAACACCCTCTACCTCGCTAGCAATGTCCTCTGTGTCGTGTGTCCCCCAAGCCTTCCACTCCCTGCTCCATTAAGTCCCCCCAATGGTGGCCTGCACGCTGCCCGCCTGTCCATACCCACCTGTCCCGGATCTCCTGGGCCAAGAGCTGCAGGCAGCGTGTGGTACGGGCCTGTTGGTGCTCCTCACTGTCCTTCAATGTCTTCTGCAATCCCTGCAGGCCTTGGGCCAGGGCCCCATACAGCTCCTGCTGAGTCTGGTCCGCACCCCACTTACGGCCTTCCTTCTCTCCTTGGCGGCTTGTGGGGCTCAACACTTCTGTAGAGAGGGTGGGAGACCCTTGACTTTATTTTTTGTGTGCGGCAGCACATGCATGTACATGTTCACAGGTGTGCACAGGTGTGTGCACAGGTACACAGACAGGTGGATGCCTGTGAAGGAAGGGAGGTCCCAGGTCAATTCTTCTCCACCTTATCTTTTGAGACTGGGCCTCTCACTGAACCCGGAGGAGGAAATTTGGGGTAGACTGTCTGTCCAGGGAACCCCAGGGTTCCTCCCTATCTCCGCAGAACTGGCATTCCAAGTGTGTCCCACTAAGCCCAGCCCAGCCCGGCTTTTTGTTTGTTTGTTTGTTTTTGGGGGGTTTTGAGACTAAAATGCTTGCCATGCAGGCATGAGGACCTGAGTTCATCTCCAGAATTTAAGTTAAAAAAAATAAAAAGCCGGGCGTTGGTGGCGCACGCCTTTAATCCCAGCACTAGGGAGGCAGAGGCAGGCAGATCTCTGAGTTCGAGACCAGCCTGGTCTACCAAGCGATTTTCAGGTTAGGCTTCAAAACAATACAGAGAAACCCTGTCTCAAAAAGCAAAAAATCAAACAAACAAACAAACAAAAGATTACGTATTTCACCTGGTGCCCACGTTGGCTAGAAGAGTGTGTCCTACCCCCTGGAACTGACAATACAGGGAGTTGTGAGCCACCAAATGATTCTGGGAACACAACCTGGGTCTCTGCAAAAGCAGCTGGTGCTCTTAACTGGCAAGCCATCCACCAGGCCCAGGGCTCTGTCTGTTTTTTGTTTTCCAGACAGATCTCTGTCGAAGGCTGACATTCACTCTCTGATCAGATGAGGATAGTCTTGAACTCCTAATCCTCCTCCTTCCATCTCCCGGTGCTGATGTCACAGGCATGCCCCGATAGGTCCAGTTTTATTCCACGCTGGAGGTGGGAGCCAGGACTTCATGCATGTTAACCAAGTGTGTTCTACCAACTGAGGCTCAGCCTTGCCCAAAAAAGTGGGAACCGGATGTGGGTCCGAGGCGAGTCTTGACTCTAGCTCTCCCTGACCTTGTCTGACCTTGACCTAGGACTTACTTTTACTTCAGACTTACTCAGACCTGGGTTTCCATCCAGTCCTTACCTTCAAGCTGCTGGATTTTGATCTGCTGTAGGCAGCTCTCCTTCTCCAGCATGGTCACAGAGTGGTTCAGGAACTCGAAAGCCTGAGGGGCAAGAGCAGGATGTGAGGGCCTGGTGTGGGGGGGGGAGAACAGGGGTGCAGAGGCGGTAGAGGGGCTCACCTTGGTCTGAGCCTGCAGCTGGGTCCTGAGGGACTCTAGTTCACATCGCAAGAGCTTGTGGGAGTCGGGGATGAGCATGGTGTTCTTAACTGTGGGCAGTGGCAAGGGGGAGCCATGGCTGAGGTAAGATCAGGGCAGAGAGGGGGGTCAGAGGAGGGAGAGGAGCATGTATAGAGCAGGGGACCCCCTTGGGCCTTGACACTGCAGAAGAAAGGGGGAGTAGGGGGCCTGCAACACGGCTCTGTGGGTGAAGGCACTTGCCACCAAAACAGATGGCCTGAGTTTGCACCCATGCCCCACAGGGTGGGAGAGAACCAACTCTGGTAAATGTGTGCCATGACACACACACCCTCAAATACAGGAAGTAAATAAATAAAAGGAAAATTTTAGAGGGGCTAGAAACCCAAATGCCTGCCCTCCAGTCTCACTAGGAAGAGGGTGTTCACCTTTTACTTTGGAAGAGCCGGGCTCCAGGGACTTCTGGGAAAGAGGAGAAGAGGAGAGTGACGGTGTATTCCCAGATAGCTTACCTTGATGCAGGTTTGAGGGAAGGACAAAAGTGGTTCTCTTGAGTTCTGGTTATCCTTAAACCCAGTGCTTGGGGCCGGGCGTTGGTGGTGCACACCTTTAATCCCAGCACTCGGGAGGCAGAGGCAGGCGGATCTCTGTGAGCTTGAGACCAGTCTGATCTACAGAGTGAGTTCTAGACCAGCTAAAGGCTACACTGTTTGTTTGTTTGTTTGTTTGTTTTGTTCTGTTTAAAGAGCATAATGCTTTTGAAGTACCAAGTAGCCAGGTTGGAAGGCTCACAACTACCTGAACTTCAGCTCCAGGGACCTGATGCCCTCTTCTGGACTTGACGGGAATTGCAATTGAGAGAACACACACACACACACACACACACACACACACACACACCTTCAAAACCTTCAAAATATGAAAGTCAGACATATTGTCTCCATCCAGCTTTGGCTACAGAGCAAGTTCAGGGTCAGCTTGGTCTACAAGAGACACTGTCTCAAAATAAACAAGACACGCAAATAGGTTTCCTTCTGCTCCTTTTTCCTCCCTCTGGAGGTGCTGTTCTGGGTGCTGAAAACTGCATGCAGGTCCCTGCTGTGCAACCCCTTCCCTACGGCCCACAGGGGTGCACAGCAGGGGCACTCCTAGGTAACGGGAGGGGGGGTTGTGGGGAGGTGACCTTGGTTGTGCTGTGGTTCCTCTTCACAAGGTCCTGGTCATGGCAATGTTCCTTGTGCAGGTCTGAGTTGGAACAGGAGGTACTCTCATTAGGCTGAGGCGTTAAGTCCCACTCTGGTCCCCAGGCCACAGACCTTGATGCTTGTTGTGAAACAGCGTTCACGACCTCAGGCTCCAAGGTCCTGGACCAGCGAGTCATACAATCCGAACCCCTGTCTGAGGAGGACCCTAGGGGCAGAGGGTTTCCTTCAGGGACAAGTGATAGCAAGCTTGCAGTTCCGCCCTCCCAGCTCTCTAGCTGCCCACCAGGCCCTCCAGGTACTTGCCCCTCTTCTCGTTGGCAGGCCAAGATGTGATGGAGAGTGAAGAAGGCGAGCGGAGGTGAGATACACTGCAGTCAGGGTCCCGGGGTAGGCCGGCCAAAAGAGGGTCGCTGCAGACAGGGGGCGGGAGGGGCTCGAGACCAGCCTCTCACTCCCAACCATTTTATTTTTAGTTATTTATTGTTGTTTTGAGACACAGTCTTATGTAGCCTAGGCTGGCCTCCAACTCATTATGGAGCCAAGAATGACCCTCAACTCCTGATCCTCCAGCGTCTACATCCCCAGTGCTGGGATGACAGGTGTGTGTCTCGACATCCACTTTATACAGTGCCGGAGATGGGACCAGCTGCATGATGGACCTCGCCCTGACCTCCTAGCCCCTGCAGAGTCTCCCCTCAGGATGTTTCAGCCCAGAAGCTCCTCAGGGTAGGCAGAAGTGGAAGTCAGACGACAGATAAATCCAGTCACAGAGGTGGGGGTGGGCGGTGAGAACGCAGACACCCCACATGAAGACACCAAGGCCTCGAGGGGCTGGTGAGGGGACTCACTGAGCAAAGGACTTGCTGCCAAGACCCACAACATGAATTGGATCCCCAGCACCCAACTTAAAGGTGGAAGGAGAGAACCGGCTTCCAATCTCCACACGTGTGCATGACATGTGCACACTTACACACACCTCATGCACCCCTAAGAATAATAAAGTTTTCTATTAACAAAGAAACAGAGTAGGGGAGGTTAGGGGCGGGACTGGGAGGAGAGGATGGAGGGAGGGGAAACAGTGACCTGGCTGGGAAAAAATTATTAATAAGAAGAAAGAAAGTAGTCACACGCCTTTAATCCCAGCACTTAGGAGGCAGAGGCAGGTAGATCTGTCTGAGTTCAAGGCCAGCCTGGCCTACATAGGGAGTTTCAGGCCAGTCATGGCTACATAGAGAGACCTTGTCACAAAAAAAAAAAAAAAAGAAAAGAAAAGAAAGAAAGAGGGGGTCTTGAGAATTGGTTCGTAGCTGCTCTTCCAGTTCTCAGGTTCAATTCCCAGCACCCACATAATGACCCACAACCTTCTGTAACTCCAGTCCCAGAGGATTCGACGCCCTCTTCTCACTTCTGCAGGTACCAGGCATGAAAGTAGTGCACAGACATACAGGCAAGCAAAACGTTAACACACGTAAAATGAGATTTAAAAATCTAAAACAACAAAACCACATAAAGGATCAGATGTGGTGGTTCACCACGTTAATCCCTGCACTCGGTGGGGATCCTTGAGTTTCAGGCCAGCCTGGTCTACAAAGCTAGTTCCAGGCCATCCAGGGTTACACAGTGAGAACCTGTCTAGAAAAAAAAAATCATCGTATTACTTTACTGGGCTGTCCTGATTACACAGATTTGATCCACTGCCTGGTAAAGACAATCTGTTTTAGAATGTCACCTGAGGACCACAGTTGCCCCAGAAGAGTTAGAGGGGGAAAGGAAAGAGGTATTTCAGAGTTTCAGCGAAGGTAGATCTCCAACCACACCTGCCCTACCCCCACCTCAATTAATTCTTACGACGTCCCCTTCTCCAGAGAATTCTTCGAGCGAGTGGGCGTGACCACTGGTATTAGCCTCGCCCCTGACCTGCCAATCTTATACCCCGCCAGTCTCCCAATCCCCTCCTAAATCCCCCACCTACCACATACCACCTGTTCATGCTCTCCCATCAGGGACCACGAAGCCAGTCCCCAGCTGTGACGCTGAAGTTTTGATCCCATGGGGACACCATCGCTGGAAAACGCAAGGAGGCCGAAGGTGGAGTCACAGAGAAGGGCGTGGTCTGCGCTTAAGCCCCGCCCGCCCACTAGGGTCAGGCGTGGGGCTTATTGGCGCCTGAGCATCTTCGGTGTGACTGGATGAAATTAGGAGAGGCGGGAGATGGTAGGATGATTCACGCAAGCCGACTGGGCAATCTCTAAGTAGGCGGGTCCAGAGGTGTCAGATGTACGATCTTATTGGCTGCTGGCTTGCTGGGAGGTGGGGCGAGGCCTATGGTGCGGAAGAAAACCCGGGAGGAGTCTGGCGAACCAGAGCTGCACAGGAGCTGCCGGTGTTCGTGGTCCCCACCCCTGGCCTCGGGTGCTTCAACGGTGGGGTCATGTGGGAATCCTGGGGGTGCTTTGGGATGTTACTGTGATTTCTCGGGTTTCTGGGCGAGGGCTTTTGGTTGTCTGCAGAGACTGGATGATCCCTGGAGACCTAGGGATGCGAACTTGAGCTGCTGGCACTCAAGCTTTTGGCATTTGATATTGGGGTCTAGAGAAAGCCTGAGATCATTTGTTCTAGAATTTTGTTTGTTTTTGAGACAAGGTCTCATGTTTCTCAGATTGGCCTCCAGCTCCAGATCCTGTCTGCACCTCTTCAGTGCTGGGATGACAGGAGAGAGCCAGTGCTTTCTTATGCAGATCTGGAGCTGGAACGCAGGGCTTCCTGCACGTGCGGCCAGCGCTCTGCCAGCTGAGTCACTTTCCCGGCCGGCCGAAGCCTAAGCTATTTGTTTGTTGTAAGATAATCTCACTATATCTCAGGCTGTCCTCAAACTCAGTGATTTTTCTGCATCATCCATATGTTGGAATCACAAGTGTGATCATCAGGCCAGTCTTTATATGTTTTTAAATGCTTTTTGGAATGGAGGAGTGGCAGTTCCTCTGTGCTGGGATTTACAAGTGTGAGCTCCCACAATAGGCTGAGATTTTGTTTATCATCTTACACACACAATAGGCTGAGATTTTGTTTATCATCTTACACACACACACACTATTATTTTGCAAGTGTTGGAGAGTGTGAGGCCAACACCAAGTCTCCGACCACAAAGCCACAATTCCAGCCAAGACTGAGCTCTGGTGGGCTGGCTGGGCTGAGGCTGTCCAAGGACTGCTCTGGGTCTTCCCACTGCCGTGTTCCCAGACTGTTTTCCCTCATCTCTGCACCAGTGTGAGGCTGGCCCTAAACATTCTCTGCCAGGTCTCAAAGCTAGGGGGCAAGGGTTGAAGGTTAAGCTGAGTCACTGGTGCCTCCTTCCCAGGGCCGCAGGATGGAGGAAGGTGAGGATCCAGGAAGCCTGATTAAAGTGGTCCACCTGCTGGTCTTGTCTGGTGCCTGGGGCATGCAGATGTGGGTGACATTTGCCTCAGGTAGGGACCTCCAATCTGTTATTGGGGGGGCTGAATGGGAGGGAGACCTGGAAGTGTCCTAATGGGTGTTTGTGGCCCTCTACCTCCCAGGCTTCCTGCTCTTCCGGAGCCTTCCTCGGCACACCTTTGGGCTCGTGCAGAGCAAGCTCTTCCCTGTCTACTTCCACGTCTCCTTGGGCTGTGCCCTCATCAACCTCTGCATCTTGGCTCCACAGCGAGCCTGGATCCACCTCTCACTCTGGGAGGCCAGTCAGGTATGAGGGTTTGAGGGCCACCATTCTCTGCAGAGTTATCCCCAAGACTCTATGAGCACTTAGGGGGGGTCTTCATTTATTTATTTATGTGTGTGTACATTCGTGTGCACATGTGCACAATCTATTAGAGACCAGGGGCCGATGTTGTGTCTTCCTCTTTCTACCTTATTTTTGTTCTTTTGAGACAGGGTCTCACTGTGTGGCCCCTGTTGTCCTGGAACTCACTCTGTAGACCAGGCTGGCCTCGAACTCACAGAGATTCACCTGCCTCTGCCTCCCGAGTTCTGGGATTAAAGGCGTGCGCCACCACTGCCTGGCAGAAACATTTTTTTTAATTATTTTTAATTTTTGGTTTTTTGAGACAGGGTTTCTTTGTGTAGCCCTGGCTGTCCTGGAGCTCACTCTGTAGACCAGGCTGGCCTTGAACTCAGAAATCCACCTGCCTACACCACTCAGCTTTTATTATTTTTAATTTATGTGTTTATTGTCTGTGCGTAAGTATGGGCATGTATGTGTGGGTACCCTCAGAAGCCAGAGGTGACAAATCCCCCTAGAACTGTAGTTATAGACAGCTGTGAGCTGTACAAAGTGGGTTCTGGGAACTGAACTCAGTCCTCTGCAAGAGCAGTATGCTCTCTTAACTGCCAAGCCAGCCATCTCTACAGCCCCAAAGTTGTAACCCAGGCTGGCCTCAAACTTGTGATTCTCCTGTCCACTTTTCAGGATATCCTCCTGGTTTGTATCACCACAACTAGCTCAAGTGACATTGTTTTGAAAAGGGAAATGAAATGCCTCTTATTCCTGGTAAAGACAGAGCTGGTCACTGGGTGTCCTTGAACAGTGCACACAACCTGCACAGCTACCCCTGGCAGCCCTCTCTGTACAGCCTTATCTTCCCCCATTGGCTCCAGTTTCCTCTCTGCCCAATAGCTGGGCCTCCTGCCAAACTGCAGTGACTCAGCTGAGCTGAGGTTCTGACCTGAGTTCACTGTGTAAAAAGTAGCCAGACTGGGAGTTTGGCTTTCCCCACTCCCATCTACACATTCCCTCAGCCAATGTAAGGAGCAATTCTTGCAGTTCAGACTTCCTCACCCTTTCCTCCCTCTGCTCTTGAAGTTTTCAGATGTGGGCAAGTGAGACTTGATGGGTCTATCAAGAATCATCTCTCCTCACCGCAGGATGTAGGAAGAGGAGCCAGGTAGATTGCACAAGTTCAAGGCCAGCCCTGGCTACATAGTGAATTCCACTCCAGCCCAGGCAACTTAGTGAGACCTTGCCTCAAAGTGAAAAGACCGGAGGCTGGGGGATGACTTGGGCAGAAAAGTGCTTCCTGCACAAACCTGGGGACCTGAGTTTGATTCTTCAGCATCCACTCACACAGAGGAATTACCCAACATATGGAGGAGGTGGGAGTCAAGGGTAGAGACAGGCAGATCCCTGAAGCGTATTGGCCAACCAGTCAGTCCAGCTGAATGAGGGAGTTCCGGGATCAACAAGAGACACCATTTCAAAAACTAAGGTGGATGGTTTAGCAGTAAATGCCTTTGCTACCAAGCCTGTGACAATCTGAGTTGGGTTCCTGAGGATATACAAGGAGGAAGAAGAGTGCGCCCGCCCGTGCACACACACACACACACACACACACACACGCATGCACGCACGCACGCACGCACGCACAAATAAGTAAATGAAATGCAATAGATTTTTTTTTTAAGAAAAAGGGCCAAGTGGTGGTGGTGCACGTCTTTAATCCCACACTTGCGAGGCAGAGGCAGGCAGATCTCTGAGTTCAAGGACAGCCTGGTCTACAGAGTGAGTTCCAGGACAGCTGGAGTGAGAAACCACAGCTTCACCCCCAAAAGATGGAAGGATACTTACATTGTGCCTGAGGCCTGAAGATCCACCCTGTGTACTGCAAAAAGCACACTTTGTTTTGAAGAAGAGGTTTTGGTGTTCAAGGAACAGTAGGAGAGCAGACTGTGCCCTGGGCCCAGGGAGCAGAGGAGAAAAAGTCATAGGCTTTTTCTAAAGGACTGCTACTTTCAGGGACTCTGTAAGCTGTGAGGGTGCAGGCACACCCTCTCTTGGTCCCTCTGTCCTCTCACCTTGCCTCCCCGTCACTGTCCTCAGCTTGCTCTACTGCTCCTGAGCCTTACGCTGGCCACCATCAATGCACGTTGGCTGGAAGCCCGCACCACGGCCGTCATGTGGGCCCTGCAGGCTGTGGAGAAAGATCGAGGCCTAGGGACAGAGGTTCCAGGCAGCCACCATGGCCCCGACCCCTATCGCCAGCTGCGGGAGAAGGACCCCAAGTACAATGCTCTCCGCCAGAAATTCTTCCACTACCATGGCCTATCTTCTCTCTGCAACCTGGGTTGCCTGCTGAGCAATGGGCTCTGCCTTGCTGGCCTTGCTCTGGGACTCCAGAGCCTCTAACATGGGCCCCATGTGCCAATAAATGCTTCTTTGGAAATGGCCGTGGTCATTTTTCCACCCCCAGAGAAGCCAGGTGTGTGTGTGTGTGTGTGTGTGTGTGTGTGTGTGCGTGTGTGTGTGTGTGTGTGTGGTGCATACTAGTATAGCACGCCCGTTCCTGTAGCATGATGCTTTGGCATGTGAGCTATTACAGCTCCAGCATATCTTCTCTAATGATGACCATTTATTGAGTACTGGCTGTATGCCTGGCACGGTGTGTGTTTTGAGGCAGGGTCTCTGTAGTTCAGGTTGGCCTGAACCTCATGACAATCCCCCTGCCTCAGCCTCTCATGTGCTAAGATGACAGGTGTGAGTCACTACATCAGTCTGTATTGCAGAGAGAAGTCTTCCCGCCAACCTGGTTCCAGAGCCGCATCAGTCCCAAATAAACACACAGAAGGCTATATTAATTATGAAGCTGTTGGCCTTGCTTGTTTCTTACTGGCTAACTCTGACTTAAGTATTTATCCCATAATTGTTAATCTAAGTATTTCTCTTACCGGAGAAGTTTCTGGGCTTCTTATCCCTATGGCGGTTACATCTTGACTCCCTGTGTTTCTCCTTCCCAGAGTCCTCCTGGACTCCTAGTCCCACCTATCTTGCTTCCCTATTGGCCAACAGTGCTTTATTGACATATACACAGGACTTCCCCCATTACTGTATATTTTTGTTTTGAAACAGGTTCTCACTATGTAATTAAGTCTGACTTGAAACTTACTATGTGGCCCAGGCTAGCCCCAAATTTATGGCAGTCCCCGCCCCGTTTCCCAGGTACTAGGGTTACATGGGCACACCATCTCACCTGTATACACACACACTTTTGAGACAGGGTCTTGAATAGCCCAGGCTGGTCTTAAACTTACATACCTGAGTAGGACCTTGAATTCCCAACCCTAACCTTCCTCCACCTCCCAAATGCTGGGATTACAGGTGTAAGCCACCATGCCTGAGCTTCTTTTTTTACATTTATGTATTTATTAAATATGTGTACGTATGTGGGAGTCAGAGGACAACTTGTGGGAATTGGTTTCCCTTCTCTGCTCTGGGTCCCTGGAACCCTTGGGTCTTCCTAGTGGCAAGTGCCTTTGCCCACTCATCCATTTTGATGGCCTCTCAACATTATTTTGAATTCCAGATCTCGCTGTGTGGCCTCAGACAAATATCTGCCTTTCTTTGATCCTTAGTCTCCTCGTTTCTAAAAGTGTTTTAGCTCTAGGAGCCCTCGAGAGTATTGAATGGAGTAACCCAGCACTCCTTAGGGCAATGTGGGTCAGGGAGTGTGCCTGACATTCACCCTCAGCACTGAAAGGAATATGGGGGGTGATGGAGACTGCTTGCTTAGTATACAAGAAGGCTTGAGCCCCTTTCCAGCACCACCTAAACCACATTGTTTTGCACACCTCCAATCCCAGACCTTGAGAGGCTGAGGCAGGAGGATCAGTTTATTATTTATTCTTGGCTACATAATGAGTTTCAGTCAAATCTAGACTAAATGAGACCTTGCCTGAAAAACAAAAATTAAAACTTGTTTAGATTTAAATTTTTATTTTACACGAGTGTTTTGCCTACGAGTATGTCTGTCCTCGTTGGTTCTTGCTGCCTTATTGCAGTAAGAAGGGTGGGGGGTCAGGTCCCCTGGAACTGAAGTTATGGATGGTTGTGAGCCACCATGTGAGTGCTGGGACTCAAACCCTGGTCCCCTGCAAGAACAGTGCTTTTAACCACTAAGCCATCTCTCCAGGCCCCCAAATTAAAAAGAGAAGTAAAAACAAAAACACAGTCACACACTTGACAGATGGGAAAGCTGAGGTGGGACCAGAACCCAGCTGCTGAAGTTTTCCTCTTAACCATAGAGGGCATAGAAGACATTTCTCCTTGTAGTTAGAGGAAAGGAGATGTATGTTTCTAGGGGGGGCTATGGTGGGACTTGATGCCCTTTCAGGCTCCTCTGGGCTTCTTGGCTCCGGTCAGGTCCCTCACATCTAGCCCCCACCCCACATAACTTGGGCCAGCCAACCGCGTGCTCTCATCTGATTGGCTCTGGAGCCTACACAGCAAGACTCAGCCTTCGGAGAAAGCCCCTCCACGTTTATGCCCCGCCAACTCCTCTGCCCAGTCTGTCGGTCGATTCCCGCCACGGACACGCAACTACCAGGCCCACCCCCTCAATTCCCCGCCCACGTTGGCTCCTTTGGAGGCGGCCCCGCACCTGTCAGACCCACCTCCGCCTGCAAGGCTTCGCCTGCTCCGCTCCGCTAGGACTCTGGCTGTGTCCCAGTCCCCGACAGGCCACGCCCACCCCTGGCTCCTCCTCTTGTTGATTCCCCGCCCACAAGACCACGCCCACCGCAGACGCCAACTCTCAAGCCCCGCCCCTACAGGCCCCACCCCCGCATGGCTCCTACTCTCACGGCAGCCTCGCCCCCTCCACCTGGGCGGAGCCGGAGCGGGATCCGGGTGTCAGTGCTGGCAGCGGTGGCTGCGGGGCGGGGGTCGCGGCCGTGTGCGGGCTGCAGCGACTTCGTGGGCGGATCTTGGTGTGTGAGGCGTGACCCGAGGTGAGTCCCGGAGGGAGGGCGCCAGCCCGCCCGCCGATTCGCGCGTGCGCTATGACAGGGATGGGCTGGGGTCCGCGCGAGGCCGGGTCACGCGCCCCCAGCGGCGCTGCTGGCTCTTCTAGGTTCCCCGCGCCCCGCTGGCTTCCGAGCGGCGGCAGCGAGGTGGGCGAGAAGCCCAGACGGGGGCGAGCGAGGGCGCCATATGGTGATGGGGGAGGCACCTGCTGGTGCACGCAGTGCAGTGACAGCTTGGATGCCAGCCTTGAGGACCGGGGACCCCTAGTCCTCCCGGAAGAGGAGCCGCGGTGGGGCGGGGGCCAGCCTCAAGCCCTGCCAAGCGGACGCTTTGCGGTCCCTCCTCAAACCCGTTCTCCCGGAACACAGGGTGGGGTTGGCTGCGTTCTCTTTGGAAATGCACGGGGCAGAGAAACAGAAAACACCGTAGGCCGTTGAGAAATACTTTTGCTCTGGCTTCGGAGAGCGACTTTAGACAGCTGGGGAAACTGAAGCCCGGGGAGCTTGGAAGAGCACCCTAGATTCGGATTTAACAGCATGCTGGAGTGTGGGCAGATAAAAACAGCAGGATATGGGGGGTCGTGGTGGGTGACTAGGATAGTTTCCTTGGATTTGATGACTTTCATTCCTGTCTCTGTGGACCGTAGCAGGGGTGAGTCAGCTTTGGCCAAGAAGGAGCCAGGCCCGGCCCCTTTGACAAATAAAATGTCAGGTACCCACTTGGAAGCATAACTGGGGCTTTAAACTACTCTATATTTATAGAAATCTCCTTACCCTGGGGGCAGGGAAAGGGTTAAAGTGGACTTAAAGGGGAAAGGACAGGCTTCTCAGTGGCAGACGCCTGCTAAGTCAACATCCAGGCCCTCTTGGAGTGGGCTCTGTCTAGTTGGCATTCAACCCCCCCCCAAGCTCACACCTGCCATACCAGCTGCTTGCACTGGGCAAAGTCCAGTCTGCAGCCCGTTCGACTTCCTCACCACCACTGGCCCCGAGTTTTCACCCGTTACCTGACTTCTGCACCTTAAGGCAGGAGATCAGAACCTTCCACTATAAAGGCTCAAGTTTACTTTTTTTTTTTTGAGACAGGTTCTTATGTAGCACAGTTTGATATTAAACTTCCGATGTAGCACAGGATGATCTTGAACTGCAGATCCTCCTGTCTCTTCCTCCCTAGTGGTGGAATCACAGGTGTGCACAGCACACCTGGTTTACTGGGTCCTGGGGCTGAAATCCAAGGTGAGCGAGCACATCCCCAGCCCTCAGTTTCACCTTTGAGTAAAGACTGAACCGCAACCACAGCCCTCCTACTGCGTCTTCCGTAACAAGTGAGCGTTTTCTGTTTTATGCACAGCTGTGTCCCTTCAGAGACCACTGCCTGGTGCAGAGAAGGACTGGGCAGAAGTTTGCGGATGAATAATAACAAGAATCATTAGGAAAGGCATTTGAGGGTACATACCTGTGTGTAATCCCAGTTCCAGAGGCAGGATCAGATGTTTGACGTCATTATCCACCACATGGGGAGTTTGAGGCCAGCCTGAGCTGCATGATAGCCTTTCTAAAAGAATTCTAAGTAATAATAATAATAATAATAGTAAAAGGTAGAAGAAGAGAAAGAGGACTGCTGAGATGGTTCACCTGTTAAGAGCAGGTGTTGCTGTTTCAGAGGGCCTGATTTAGATTCCTAAAGCCCAGGCCAGACAGCTCACAAGTGCCTGGGACTCCAGCCCCAAGGTGGAGACACATTCCTGTCACCCCCCAGACACTTGGCTGTAGAGGCGGGGACTGAGAGTTAAGACTAGGCTCCAGAGTGAGACCTTGTTTCCTAAGAGAGGAGGAAAGAAACCAGGGCTTGGAGGCGGCTTTGCAGGTAAAGGCACTTGCTGCCCTGCCTCATGACCTGAGTCGGATCCCAGATCCACATGTTGGGGGAACTGACGCCTGAACCCCTGCCTCCTTGCAGGTTCCACTCTTTCCCGTCAGGGTTCCAGGCCTCCCGTCCAAGCAGATCCCACCAAGATGGCGTCTGCTAGTGAGCCCCCTGCCAGCCCAAGGGATGCAGCCGACCAGAACTTTGACTACATGTTCAAACTGCTCTTGATCGGGAATAGCAGTGTGGGCAAGACCTCCTTCCTGTTCCGCTACGCTGACGATTCCTTCACCCCTGCCTTCGTCAGCACAGTGGGCATCGACTTCAAGGTCAAGACAGTCTATCGACATGACAAGAGGATCAAGCTACAGATTTGGGTGGGTTGAGCGGCCATGTGGGGAACTGAGGGGGCAGTCACTGGAGAGTCAGACCCAGAGCAGAGTTCCCAGGAGACAGAGTAGCAGCTCAGGGCAGGGAGGTGTCTTTCATCGCTGAGGTAAACCCATCGGGATGTGGGAACACGTCCTGCCCTGGGTGGCCTGTGGAGGGACAAGGTGGACAGAAGGTGCATGTTGGAAGTACCAGTGACTAGTGAGGAAGAAGTTGGGGACCATCTAGGGGACTCCCATGGAGGCTGCCAGGCTCAGAGCTATACCCTGTCCTCAGTCCAGCTGTTGATATTATCATGGTGACAAGGAGACCAGGTAGCTGATCAAGATGGTCACCTAAAGCCCAGATGGCTCTTCTCTGTGTCTGTTACATTGGTTCTTGGAAACAAGGTTAGAGAAGGTCATCAACGGGAGACTTCCCTGCACACTAGAGCCCATGCAGGGCAGAGCTGAGTCAGTTAACAGATCTCAAGACGGGACGATAGGCCCGGTGATACATGCCTGTAATGTCTCACATTAGGATGGGCAGTGAGGGCAGAGTCATGCCTCCCTCACTGTGCAGACTGGTATTCCTCCATTCAGATTAGGTATGAGGGCAGGGCCATACTTCCCCATCAGACTGGGCCTGTGAAGGCCACACTACTCTTTCCCCATCAGATTGGACTACGAGGGCAGACCTGTGTCCCTTCCTGGGCCTTGCAGATGGCCCCTAACTGACTCACTGCTGTTTGCCTAGGACACAGCAGGCCAGGAGCGCTACCGGACCATCACCACAGCCTACTACCGTGGAGCCATGGGCTTCCTGCTCATGTATGACATTGCCAACCAGGAGTCCTTCACCGCTGTGCAGGACTGGTGAGTGCTGGCTAACCACTGACACGTCACAGGCCTTGTTCTCCCCTTCCCAAACCTTTAACCTCCCTCTCAATGTCCACGATTCCACAGGGCTACACAGATCAAAACCTACTCCTGGGACAATGCCCAAGTCATCCTTGTGGGGAACAAGTGTGACCTGGAAGATGAACGTGTTGTACCTGCTGAGGATGGTCGGAGGCTCGCTGATGACCTTGGTTAGTGCCCAACCCAAGCCACAGGTCACATCTCCTCGCTCCTCACCCTCATCTTCACCCTTGAGTCCCAGTTCCACAGTGGTTAACTGAGGATCTGGTCAGGGAGAAAGGAAAAATACCCTGGTATTGGGGCTGGGGAGATGGCTTGGTGGGTGAGTAAGAATGCAGGCAGTTCATTCATGTAGGGTCCCCAGTCACCACCTAAAAGGCCAGACATGAACACACACACACACACACACACACACCTACCTTCATGCCTATAACTCCAGCACTGTGGAGGGCTGAGACATGGATTACTGGGGTTTATTGGTTGCCCGGCTAGCTTTAGGTTCACTGAGAGACACTATCTCAAGGGAATAAGTTGAGTGTGAGAAAGCAGGTTCTCTGATGTTCCCCTCTGTCTCCAGGGGCACTCACGTATACCTGCACCCAGATACACACAAACACAACACATATATCCCAAGATAACCCTACTAGAACCAAAGAAAAGACACTTAGAAGGCAGAGGTTCAAGACTAGCCTGGGCTGCATAGCAAGTTCTAGATCTGGCAAGGCTACATAGTGAGAGTCTATCTCAAAAACAAAAACAAAAAACCCAAAAGCACAAAACAATAAAAAAGAGAGAAGAGCCCAAACAAGCAAAAGAAACATAAAGGATTCAGATGTGTTGGGGGAGTTGAGGTGTTGATAATAAAACACCAAATTTGCCCAAGAAGACAGTAGAGCAGCCGGAATCTCACCAGGCTTCAAAGAGCTACGTGCATGCATTCCACCATGTTCACTGAGTCACTCAGCCTGTGGCTTCTAAGCATTTACTCAGGGCTGGGCCTGAAGCTTAGCAATAGAGCCCCTGCCTAGAATCCCCCAGTGAGGGGCCAAGGGTGTGCATGGCTCAATGGTAGAGCCCCTGTCTTGCTCTGGTTTCCAATCCTGCACCAAAAACACCCCAATGTCTTCCTCACATGGGCTTTGTATCAGGGACTGAGAGCTGCAGGAAGAATCTTGCCCGTCTTGGGCTGGTCCATGTAGTAGCAGAGAGGAGTATGAAGTGGAAATTGTTCACTTGTCCAATCAGGATTACTTAATTCTAGAAACCAGATGGACCTCCTCATGCTAAGCATCTTTCTTCCCGCGGCTCTAGCTTCCCATTACGTCCTTCCCGAGTCGGGGAGTTGAGAGATGGCCTCAATTTGCAGCCCAGGCTGGCTTTGAGCTTTCAACTGTTCTCCTGCCTCAGCCTTCTGAGTCCTAGGATTACGAGTGTGTGCCATCATGCCTAGCTAACACAACACACACACACACCAAAAATGAAAACCCTCATACTAAAAAAGTTACTTGCAGCCAGGTGGTGGTGGCGCACGCCTTTAGTCCTAGTACTCGGGAGGCAGAGGCAGGCAGATCTCTGTAAGCTCAAGACCAGCTTGGTCTATAGAGCAAGGTCCAAGACAGCCAGGGCTACACAGAAAAGAACAAACAAACTTTAAAATTTTCATGTCCCTTTAAAAATTACATATATGCCACAGTGCACATGCGGAGGTCAGAGGACAACTTCAGGCAGAGGTTTTTGCCTTCCACTGTGTTTTCCCAGGGATTGAACTCAGGCTAGTCACAATCAGGTTTGCATGGCAATTGCTTATGCAGGCTGAGCTAGCTCACTGATTCTCTGTCTCTCTCTTTAAAACAGTGCTGGGGCTCAAACCCAGAGCCTTGTGCAGGTTACACTTTACATTTTTAATATTTCTTTTGATAGAAGGTCTCACTTTGTATCTCTGAAGCCTATGGTCTTCCTGCTTGGCCTCTGAAGTGCAGGGATCATGGGTTTGAACTGTGCCCTAATTAGATTACATTTGCGTGTGCATGTGGAGGCCAGCAGACATCAGGTGTCATCTTTCTCTGGGACAGGGTCTTCCACTGGGCTAGGCTAGCTGGCCAGCAACTCCACCACCTCCACTTCCCCAGCAATGGGGTTGCAAGCATGTTCTACCACATCTGGTTTTTAAAAAATGGGTACAAAGCTGGGCGTTGGTGGCGAACGCCTTTAATCCCAGCACTTGGGAGGCAGAGGCAGGTGGATCTCTGTGAGTTCGAGGCCAGGCTGGTCTATAAGAGCTAGTTCCAGGACAGCCTCCAAAGCCACAGAGAACCCCTGTCTCGAAAAAACAAAAACAAAGCAAAACAAAAACAGGTGCTGGGAATCTGAACCCAGGTCCTCATTCTTTTCCATCTGGGCCATCTCCATAGCCCCAATACACGGTTTTAAATTACACTTTTATTTATATATATATATATTTTTTTTTTTAAGTGGGGGCAGGTTTAGAGACAGAATCTGCCTGCCTCTGCCTCCCAAGTTCTAGGATTAATGGTGCGCGCGTGCACGCACACACACACACATCCCTTCTCTCTCTCTCTCTCTCTCTTTTTTTTTTTTTTTTTTTGGTTTTATGAGACAGGGTTTCTCTGTATTGTTTTGGAGGCTGTCAGTCCAGCCCGGCCTCGAACTCACAGAGATCCACCTGCCTCTGCCTCCCGAGTGCTGGGATTAAAGGCGTGCGCCACCAACGCCCGGCTTCCCTTCACTTTTTTTAAGTGTGTATGGGTGCTTTGCCTGCACGTGTTAGTGTATCGTGTGCTACAGTACCTGCAGGGGTCAGAAGAGGGCATCAGGTCCCTTGGCTCTGGAGTTACAGATGGTTATGAGCTGTTATGTGGGTTCTGGGAATTGAACCCAGGTCCTCTGGAAGAACAACCAGTGCTCTCAATGGTTGACCTATCTCTCTAGCCCCATTATTTACTTAGTGTATGTGTGCGACACACACACACACACACACCGGATTGGGTCAGGCAGGAATGAGCTCAGAATGCAGGTCTGAACAGTTCCACTTTCTGACTCCAGCTCCTTGGGACTCACGTGACTGTCGCATCCGTCCCCACCTTCTGTCATCCAGGTTATGAGTTCTTTGAGGCCAGCGCCAAGGAGAACATCAATGTGAAGCAGGTGTTTGAGCGCCTGGTGGACATCATCTGTGAGAAGATGAATGAGTCGCTGGAGCCCAGCACTAGCACTGGCAGCAATGGAAAAGGCCCCGCCCTTGCGGATACCCCACCCCCCCAGCCTAGCGGCTGCGGCTGCTAAGGGCGGCCCTTGACCTCCCCACACCTGTCCACTCCTGCCTTTTCAAGGACTGCAGCCAAGGTGTGAGCCACAGGGGCAGCCTCCAAGCTCAGGGCACTCCTTCCCTCCTGCCTACTCTCCCTTCTTCTCGCACGACCCCGTCTCTGTTTCTCTCCATGTTGATATACTCAGGCGGTCCTGGTTAGAGCCTACACCACCAGGCTCTGCTCAGCACCGTCTGAGGGCGTGGGGCACCCATGCAGGTGCTTACTGCTTCCCAAGGCTTTTCGATGGGGGTGGCTTTAGGCAGCATCACCTTCCGTGAGTGACGGAGGGACACTCCACGCCCTCTACCTTAGAACCACTTCCCAGCTGGATGCTCTACTGTCCATATTGTTGGCCGAAGGCGTCCCCTGGTGTGGGTTGCTATACAACTTAGCCCTGGCAGCCCCTTCAGCTCAGGCCCACCGGCTTGGCCTTGAACCTGCCTGTGAACTAACTGTTAGCCAAGGATACAGGCAGGTCTGTAGTTTCTACCCTCTGCTTCCCTGGCATCTACCTGGAAACCTGTTTTCTGGTTATACAGAGACAGAGTCAGAGCCATCCATGGCATTGGTGACTCTCCAAAGTGCCTTCCAAGCTTCCCCTGAATCCACGCCACTCAGTGTGGGTTAACCCACTCCATCCCATCCAGAGCTAAATTTTGGACCAATCCAGGCTCCCTCACATGGAGGTTGAGAAGTGCCCCACCTTTCGCTCCCCAGTTCTCCATCAGTTCACCTCAGAGCCAGGGGTTGAGGCTGCCTGCCCAGGGCCCCGTCTGCCCGCCTGGCGGTGTTTTAAGCAAGAGCTTTGCACATCTTACATCCTGTGTAGAGAAGGAAGTGGAGAAACCAGCCCACAGAGGGTGTGCGCTTGGCGGTCAGTTTCTGACGACAGGAGTCCGGCTCTCCATCTGAGGACTCTTGTAGAGATTCAGTGTCATCCCAGTCATCAGTGGCCCAGGGACACTTGGGGTTGTGGGGAAGACCAGGGAGAAGTCCTCAGTGGGCACCCAATGCTTTTGTTAGTAGCTCATGGGAGCAGCAGGCACTTCAGTGAACTGGGATGAGCTGTGGGGTTGTCATTGATGTCTCTACAACGTTTGGGACTTAACCCCTAGGATCCCAGTTCTCTCCAACTAGGAGGTCCTTCCACCCACTAACCAAACTCCCCTGAACACCATTTGATCCCATGACTCAGGTGACACTGCCCAGATGGTCTGTGTTGTACATCCCTGACTTTATGTCAGGGGTGGAGTCTAGTACTTTAGTCCCATAGCCAAAATGACTTCTGCAGCCTTACCAAGCTCAGTTTCTTACTGGGGCACGCATGAGCTATGAGCCTGGCTTAGGCTCCAACATACTTGTAGCCCTGCCCGCCACTGTCCTTAGGGCATCTGGATGAAACGGAGTGGATAAATCATTCTAGCAAAGGGAGAGCATCTGAACACTTGGAGGGAAGAGTCAAGTTTTTTATGTTGCTTCATCATTAAATTGTCAAAACGCTAAAATTAACTTAAGAGTCAACAACCTTCTGGGTGTGGTGGCATACACTTTTAATCCCAGCACTGGGAGGCAGAAGCAGGTAGTCTCTGAGTTTGAGACCAGCCTGGTCTAAAGAGCGAGTTTCAGGTCAGCCAGGGTTACACAGAAAAACCCTGTCTCAAAACACCAAAGAGAGAGACAGACCCTGTCTCAAACAAATAAAGACAAAAAAAATAATAAAAATAATTCAACAGTGTCTGGAACTGGGACTTAGTTGCTGGTGTTTGCCTAATGTGTCGCACAAGGCCCTGGGTTTAAGGCCCAGGAGCACACAAACTAAGCATGTGATCCAGGGATGCCATCCTAGTGGAGTCAGGAGGGTCAGATTACCATCTAGGATGCTAAGGCCAGCTTGGAGCTGTATGAGACTGTCTCAGAAAAAAAAAAAGACCCTTGACCCTGTCAGATTCTGTCACACAGTCCATTGTTCCTAAGCTACTGCCCAGCATGGTGGCGGGCCAGTTTGCCCTTAGCTGTGGTTGTTCCTGACATTTCCTTTTACTGGATGTTGGGCTTGTAAGATATAAGAGGCTTCCTCGGTTCTATTCAAGCAGCTGCAGCGGAAGCTGCCCTGTGGTTTTCACACAACTGGAGATGAGGCCAGCAGGATGGTTCATCTGGTGAGGTCACTTGCTGCCAGCCAAGCCTGGTGACCTAAGTTAGATCCTGGGATCCGTGAGGTATGAGAACTGATCCCTTCAAGTCATCCCCTGACTAACACATGAGGGTGTGCACACTCAGTCAATTTTGAAACTGAATAATGTGAAAACGGTTTCTTCAACCAGTTAAGGAAGACTTGTACCTTTTTGAACTTTTTAAAATATATTTATTGTGTATACAGCCTTCTGCCTGCATGCCAGCAGAGCACACTAGATCTCATTCAAGGTGGTTGTGAGCCACCGTGTGGTTGCCGAGAATTGAACTCAGGACCTCTGGAAGAACAGGCCGTGCTCTTACCCTCTGAGCCATCTCTCCAGCCCCCTTTTTGAACTTTTGATTCCTCCAGTAGGTTTTACCAAGGGCGGGTGATTGGGTCTCTAGTGAACAGAGGCTGCCATCTGTGCGAATGGCCGAGGGGGACGGAGGCCTGTTGAGTTTATTCGTAGAAACTCCACCGACTGGGAACAAAGGCCTCTGTGTGGCAGGAGGAGGTCCTGAGCAGCCGGCCTTGGGTGTCTTCTCCACCACGGACAATGTGTCCTTTCAGAGAGAAATGGCCATGGCTGCCATGGTTTGATGGTCTGTGATTTTTAGGTTTGGTCTTTGGTTTTCTTGTTTGGGGATGGGTAGGTGTCTCATGCTATAGCCTGGCTGGCCCAGAACTCTGTCTAGACCAGGCTGGCCTTGAACTCCCAGAGATGCACCAGCCTCTGCCTCCCTAGTACTGGAATTAGAGGCGCGCACCACTATGCTCAGCTGACTCTGCTGCCTGGTGGAAGTACAGGCTGCACCACCAAACGGTTTGACAAGTGCTGAGGATACAGCCTAGACTTCCTGTATGCTAGGCAAGTGCTCTACAAACTGGGCCTTGGCAATGATTCTGCTCTGGCTCCCCTCTAGCAATTCTGAAACAATACTGAATCAGCTCTGGTCTGGCTGTTCATATCCCCCAAATCTGGTGTCCAGTCTGGAAAAAATGTGTACTCTTTCCAATTGATGAAGTGAAGCCATCATGAGGTCCCATGCTTATATTACTTTATTCCACTGCAAATCAATGTTTTTGGTTTTTTTGTGGCGCACAGAGCCCCATCAGGCCTGGGGCTGTTTCTAGCTAGGCCACAGCTCTAGGTTTCACTTTGTAGGCTGGCAAGATATCTCAGTGAGTATTTGCCTGAGTCTGGTGACCCAAATTTGATTCTGGGAACCCACGTAGTGGAAGTCAGGTTCATACAAGTTGTCCTCTTGTCTCCCGGTTTCTATTGCTGAAAGGAAACGCCACGACCAAACAGCAAGTTAAGAAGGGAAGGGTTTACCTGGCGTTCGCTTCCACATTGTAACCCATCATTGCAGGGATCTAGGATAGGAACTCAAGCAGGGCAGGAGATGATGCAGAGGCCATGGAGGGGTGCTACTTTGACTTTGCATGTCATGCTCAGCCTGCTTTCTTTCTTTCTTTCTTTCTTTCTTTCTTTCTTTCTTTCTTTCTTTCTTTTTGGTTTTTCGAGACATGGTTTCTCTGTGGCTTTGGAGGCTGCCCAGTAAAAAACTCTGTTTGCAAAGATCCACTGCCTTATTCCAGGAATTTGATGGCCTTTGCTGTGCACCAATTCTTTTCAGACTAGCCAGTCAAATTCAGAGTAGTCAGTCCAATTAAGACCCCAGCCATGGGGTGAGGGAAAGACAGTCACCATCTGAGTTGGAAATACTAAGTGTGGGGACTGGACAGATGGCTCTGGTTAAGAACACTAACTCAGTCCAGTGTTGATGGCACACGCCTTTAGTCCCAGCACTTGGGAGGCAGAGACAGGCAGATCTCTATGAGTTCAAGGTCAGCCTGGTCTACAGAGTGAGTTCCAGGATAGCCAGAGCTGTTACACAGAGAAAACCTGTCTCAAAACAAAAACAAACAAAAGAACACTGACTCTTCTTCCAGAGGACCCAGGTTTAATTCCCAGCACCACATGGCAGCTCCAAACCATAACTTAAGCTCCAAGGAGTCCAGTGCCTTCTTCTGGTCTCCCTAGGCACCAAGCACATGAATGGTACACAGACCTACATGCATGCAAACACCCACACATTTAAAATAAAGGAAAAAGAAATACCAAGTACACCTGCATCTGTGTGCCTAGCGTGGCATAGTGGCACACTTCTGGGACCATGTGAGAAGCTAGGGACACCAGTGACACAGGGTGGAAGTCTCAGCACTGTGCAGGCACAGATAGGAGGGACCTAGAGCCTGGCTGCCCACCAAAGAATAAGGTAGAAATAATGCCGCCAGGCATGGTGGCGCACGCCTTTGATCCCTGCACTTGGGAGGCAGAGGCAAGTGGATCTCTATGAGTTCAAGGCCAGCCAGGCCTACACAGAGAAGCCCTATCTTTAAAAGTAATTAAATAAATAGAAATACCAAGTACACTCCCTGTCTCTATGTGGCCCTTCTGAGCACACCCTCTTTTTTTATTTTTTTTTGAGACAGGGTTTCTCTGTATTGTTTGGAGGCTGTCCTGGAACTCTCTCTGTAGACCAGGGGGGCCTCGAACTCACAGAGATCTGCCTGCTTCTGCCTCCCGAGTGCTGGGATTAAAGGCGTGTGCCACCAACGCCCAGCTAAAATAAATTTCTTATTGGTTGTTGAATAAGGATGCTTCAACTGCTGGGTAGTGGTGGTGCACGCCTTTGATCCCAGCACTTGAGAGGCAGGCGGATCTCTGTCAGTCTGAGGCCAGCCTGGTCTCCAGAGTGAGTTCTAGGACAGCCTCCAAAGCAATGTAGAGAAACCCTGTCTTGAAAAAACAAACAACAAAAAAAGAAGCTGTTTCAGCTGATGGACAGGCAGGATTTAGTCAGGCAGGAAATCAAAACAGGGGTAAAGAAAGGTAGTAGGCAGAGTCAAGGAGACGCTGGGTAGCTATTAAGGAAACAAGAGACCTAGGCATTGCCAGTAAACCAAGACCATGTGGAAATACACAGATTAATAGAAAGGGGTCAATAATTCAGAGAGAGAGCTAGCCAAGAAGCCCGAGCCATCAGCCAAACAGTTTATAATTAATAAAAGCCTCTGTATGTTTATTTGGGACTAAATGGCTGTGGGACTTGGTGGGACAGAAATTTCTGACTACAGTTCTTGTGTGCTGGGCCTCTGTCACTCTCCAGGTCGGCAACGGGGCTTGGAAGTCTCTGGACAACTTAGGGAGGGCCATTCCCAGGAAATTACCACAATATAGGACCAAAGGTGAGGAACACTGTGGAGAAGCACGAAGTGCTCCTTTGGGGGTTGGGTCATCCTGGGAGTTGAGGCATGTCCTCAACGTGAAAGTGAGTTCAAGAGACCTCCGTAACGGGGCACCAAACCCAAGATCAACCAGGATGGAAAAGTAACCTAGATTAAAAGAGCTCTTTAAAAAGGGGAAACCAAAACACTCCCCTGGGACATGGAGGGGGCCGGCCCCTCTAGGGAGGCTCCCTCCACCTTACCTCCCTGCCCTGGCTAAGGAGAGATTGAATGTGAGGCCTCCAAACTTAAGTTCAGCTCCCTATCTCCTTCTCTGGGCACAGGATTCCTGCCTCTTTCCTCTTTACCAGGGTACCTCAGAGAACCTGGGAGACCTTGGATCAGAATAGGATTGAAGCTGTGGGGTGGAAAGGGCCAAGGAAAAACACCCGCCCCTGACTTGGCCCAGGACCAGGACTTGAAATCCCACCAATCCCTGAGCTTGTCCCATAATCAGGCTATAAACCCACCAAACCTAAGTTGCCCTGGAAAGCTCCACTCCCCTCTCGAGAAGCCATATATTACTCTGTACCCTACTTAGTTTGCTGCTTTTTCTCACCCTAGAGGCAGCCAGCCTCCTGGATTCTTCCTTCCTAATAAATCTCTTGAGTGATGTTTGTTGCACAGTGTGACACTTTGAACAGAGCAGAGTTCAACTTTTGCCAGAGGAGAGCAGAACTGTAAGGCTTTAGCTGGGGAAACTTTTCCTGTGGGAGCAGAGCTGTAACAGCTTTGCTGGGAGACTCCCTGTCAGAGCAGAGTGGTTACACTAGCACTGGGAAAACCTGTTCCTGCAGGGGAGCTGTAAGCTTACAACTTTGTGGTATTCCTTGTCTCTGCACTGCCAGGATACCTTTCCATCTGAGCGGCAATGCTTACAGGTGCAGTCTCTTGGTGTGGTTAAGTCTGATTTAGAAGATCTGTCAGCAGCTGCTTTTTAACTGGGTAAAAGGGCCTCACAAGGCTACTGTGCCGGCAAGTCAATTTGACTCAAGCCAGTCATCAGAGAGGAAGGAACCTCAATTGGGAAAACACCTCC